CAACTCTGAGATGTTCAGCCAAATGATAAGCGTGAAACCTAGAGCTATATTTTGGAAAAGTAGTAGAAACCGCAAGATTATAGGACAACTCATAGTACAGGGTGTCCCAGAATTCTTTCCCTAATTCCGAATATTCATAAGGCATAAAATATGACACATAGACAAATTCAAACATTCTGTGTACATAATTGATAAATTTCTACGCGTGAGTTTTTCGATGCCCGAAGGATATCCAGGGGACATTCCAATTCTTTCCATGCGCTGGTCAACATTATGTGAAGGATGGATGTTATGACTTCAGCAACTCTGCACAGTAATGCTGAGATGTCGTTCACTGATGTTTGGTAAACCTGGTCCTTGACATAACCTGAAAGGAAGAAATCCAGTGGTGTTATGTTTGGCGATCGTGGAGGCTAGTTTATGGGACCATCACGCCCAGTCCATCTTCTCGGAAATGTTGTACCCTTATAGGCATGGACATCTAACCCCCAAAATGTCCCGCATGATTTTGTTGGAAAAGTGAGTCCAGAATGCCCCATATCTGTGGCACAACAAATAACTGCAGCATACCAAGATAGGTGTAGGCGGTGATAGTCTTTTCACTGAAGGAAAAAAGGTCCTATGTTCTTACTGTGCATAAGACCGCACCACGCGTTCAACTCAGAGATCTAGATCTCTCTTAGGGTCTCGAACACAGCTTGGAGACTCTTCCAACCCCAGATTTTAGCATTGTGAAGGTTCGCACCGCCATTCAATGAAATGTGGTCTCATCTGACAAAAGGACATGTTTCAGATAATCAACAGCTTTCTCATTCTCAGATAGCACGGGAACAGCAACGACATAACGGGCAGTGTAATCCAACAAAGTAACAGTAAGTATTTACTTCAAAACTTGAATATGTTACATGCAATTCAAGATGATTGCAGTTAAAGATTCAAGATTCCAGATCATTCAAGATCATGCAATTCAAGATTCAAGATTCCAGATTTGTCTATGTGTCATATTTTGCGCCTTATGAATATTTGTAATCAAGGAAAACATTCGGGGACATCCTGTAGAATCAGCCACTCCCGAATCACTCTATTACCTTCCGAAAGCAGAGAGTGAGCAAGTTTGTTTTAACTGTAACAGTTTTCTATCTGTATGTCATTTTTTTTAACAAAATGCCCATATTTTCCAAGACTTCGACTGAAGTATTTAAATGAATGTGACTTGATTCCTGACCGTAAAATCGAAAAGGAGGTTAATATTAATTTATTTTGTTACCTGTAAGAAACAGGTCTTTTTAACTGTATTTGATTTTGTTTTGAAGTTGCGCCTTTATCATTTTAATTCTGCGTATTTTAATGGAACCATGATTTTGATATTACTACTTTTTTACATCTGATACCATTACATGAAATTAACACATTTATTCTCCTGAGTATTCACCATTTTATTATTCCATTTGATTTCATAAATCTGCTGTTTCTTTAACCTTGCCTTTGGTGATAACATTTGTTGGCATGTGAATTATTTCAAAGTATATGACATGCTTTTGGATGATATAACCTTTCAGATTATTACAACACCACCACCATCACCTCGGAAAGTTTCAGAGCAAAAAAATATAGTTTGTTGCGGCATTGTTTAAATTGAAATTCACTACTTCTGACATGATGTGAATGAAAAGGTAACAAAAGTACGATTTTCTCAAGATTAGAAAGTTTAGATAAAAACGGTATAAATAAAACCACTAAATATTCTGTGGTTAAGGAAATGGATCGGGGACCTAAACGAAAATTGAGATTTAATTTATTGAATTACTATTTAAGTTACTTTATGTTAGAAATTGAAACTTATATCAGAAAGTAATTTATAAGAAGCATTGTGTCGAAACCCCGGTAATTAGAAAAAAAAATAATTTCTATCAGCGTTAATTTCGGATATCCAAGAACAACGTATTCTTGTGAAAAAATAGAAGCCTTTTTAGGCAAAAGTTTTTAATGGAAGAAATTACAATGCTAAGGATTTCGATAGACATTCGCAAACATAAAACAAATGAACGCAGATTTTGAAGTAATTTCCACGGAATTCATTATATTTTGCATAATGAAAAATCTTACTAAGAAACGTGAAATCCAAAATTTTATATGTGCTTAATTTACACATCCATGGGTACTTAAATTGCGAATCATCAAGTCTTCGTTTTCTAGAATGCAGCTGTGGAACGGGCGGAAACGATTGCACCTTTGACGAGGAAAAGAACAAAAAATGCACATGCGAGAAGGGATTCGTAGGGGATTAAATATGTTTTCTCTAAGATACTAGACTGCAAACGTATAGTATATCATAATTGCATGCATTGGGGTTTAGTAATTTGTTTGTAATTTATAAATTCCTAAAAACAAAAACTTCAGATGTTACATACGCAAGCGTTTACTAATATTAAATAGGTCGGTGTATGTTATTTGAAACCATTAACTTCATCTGAAAATGGGTTGGGATGTTACACAAAGAAAATAGGTTGTATACTTTCATAAACCATATATTTGGAACATGTGAAAAAGAAATATTAACTAGTGCTTTATAACTATCATAACAAATGAAGTATTCAATAGACTAAAATCGGCAAAAGGCTTATCTTACTTAGATGCTATATAAGTTGCTTTGTGTTAGGAATCGAAATTAGAAACTTATAACAGAAGTATTTTTAAGGATGCATCGAATTGCCGATATTCTAAAAAAAAATTAATTTACTTTAATTTGGGAATTCACGAATAAATGATGTTGGTTGAACAAAACCTGTTAGGCTGACGTTTAAATGGAAGGAAATAAAAGCAAGATTTTCGATATCATTCAGCATAACTAATTAATGCAGGTATGAATAATTTCCACGGAATTCATTAAATATTAAGAAGAAATCCGGAATATTTTACTAGAAAACGTGAAATCTAGAATTTTATATGTTCTTATTTGACTCACCATGGGTACTTAAATTGCGATTGATCAACTCTTCGTCTTCTAGATTGCAGCTGGAACGGGCGAAAAAGTTTGCCCTTCGACCAGGAAAAAAAAAAAAATGCACATGCGAAGGGATTCATAGTGACGAAACGAAAAGGAAAACGAGCAATGCACAGGTACCATTTCTTTATCAAAACAAGTCTTCTATGAATTTTATGTAGGAATGCTAAGGGAAGAATAAAATCTCCTATTTAATGACATAATACTGCTAAACCTATCTGCTTCCTAGTCTATAAAATAGTTAACATGAAATTATTGTAATAGAAAATAAAATTAAATCTTAAATATGTTCCTCTAAGTACTAGTGTGCAACGAGTACTATATCATAATTGTTTGCATTGAGATTTAGTAATTTACTTTCTCAGTTATACTACCAAAAACGAATTTCAGATGTCATGTAGAATGTTTACTATGTTAAATAGGTACTTATTCGTTTGAATCAGTTACTTCTCAGAAAATGGGCCGGATTTTAAACAAAGATATAGGTTGTGTATTTTGGAAAACCAATAGTTTGTCATTTGTAAAGAAACATTAACTAGTGCATTATTCTATCATAACAAATGAGTATTCAATAGACTAAAATCGGAAAAAGGCTATCTTACTCAGTTCTATTTAAGTTGCTTATGTATTAATCGAAATGATAAACTTATAACGAAAGTATTTTAAAGATTGCATTGAGTCGAATTGCCGATAATTCGAAAAAAATTAACTTTTATGAGCTTTAATTTGGGATATCTCACGAATAAATGATTGTTGGTTGAAACAAAAAACGTTTTAGGCTGACGTTTTAAATGGAAGCAAATAAAATGCAAAGAATTTCGATAGTCATTCGCAAGCATATAACTAATTAATGCAGGTATGAAGTAATTTACACGGAATTCATTAAATATTACAGAATAAAAATCCGGAATATTTACTAAAAACGTGAAATCTAATTTTATATGTTCTTATTTGACTCACCCATGGTACTTAAATTGCGATTGATCAACTCTTCTCTTCTAGATTGCAGCTGTGGAACGGGCGAAAAGATTGCAGCTTCGCCAGGATAAAAAAAAAAAATGCACATGCGAAGGGGATTCATAGTGACGAAAGACGAAAAGGAAACGAGCAATGCACAGGTACCATTTTTTATCAAAAAACAAGTTTTCTAGGAATTTTATGTAGGAATGCTAAGGAAGAAAAATCTCCTATTTAATGACAATACTGCTAAACCTATATCTGCTGTCCTGAGTCTATAAAATAGTTAACATAATTATTGTAAATAGAAAATAAAATTAAAATCTTAAATATGTTCCCTCTAAAGTCTAGGTGCAATCGAGTATATATCATAATTGTTTCATTGAGATTTAGTAATTTATTTCAAGTTATACATACCAAAAACGAAAATTAGATGTCATGTAGGAATACTTTTACTAATGTTAAATAGGTACTTATTCGTTTTGAATCAGTACCTTCATAGACATGGGCCGGATTTAAACAAAGAATATAGGTTGTGTATTGAAAACCATATAGTTTGTCATTGTAAAGAAACATTAACTAGTGCATTTATATCTATCATAACAATGCAGTACAATAACTAAAATCGGAAAAGGCTTTTACTCAGTGCTAGTTAGTTGCTTTAGTTATGAATCGAAAGAAACTTATAACAGAAGTATTTTAAAGATTGCATTGATCGAATTGCCGATAATTCGAAAAAAAAAATTAACTTTATGAGCTTTATTTGGGATATCTCACTATAAATGATGTTGGTTGAAACTAAAACCGTTAGGCTGACGTTTTAAATGGAAGGAAAAATGCAAAGAATTTCGATAGTCATTCGCAAGCATATAACTAATTAATGCAGGTATGAAATAATTTCCACGGAATTCATTAAATATTACAGAATGAAAATCCGGAATATTTTACTAGAAAACGTGAAATCTAGAATTTTATATGTTCTTAATTTGACTCACCCATGGGTACTTAAATTGCGATTGATCAACTCTTCGTCTTCTAGATTGCAGCTGTGGAACGGGCGAAAAAGTTTGCAGCTTCGACCAGGATAAAAAAAAAAAATGCACATGCGAAGAGGGATTCATAGTGACGAAAGACGAAAAGGAAAACGAGCAATGCACAGGTACCATTTCTTTATCAAAAACAAGTTTTCTATGAATTTTATGTAGGAATGCTAAGGGAAGAATAAAATCTCCTAATTTAATGACATAATACTGCTAAACCTATATCTGCTGTCCTGAGTCTATAAAATAGTTAACATGAAATTATTGTAAATAGAAAATAAAATTAAAATCTTAAATATGTTCCCTCTAAAGTACTAGTGTGCAATCGAGTACTATATCATAATTGTTTGCATTGAGATTTAGTAATTTACTTTTCAAGTTATACATACCAAAAAACGAAAATTTCAGATGTCATGTAGGAATACTTTTACTAATGTTAAATAGGTACTTATTCGTTTATTGAATCAGTTACCTTCATCAGAAAATGGGCCGGGATTTTAAACAAAGAATATAGGTTGTGTATTTTGATAAACCATATAGTTTGCTCATTTGTAAAAGAAACATTAACTAGTGCATTTATATCTATCATAACAAATGCAGTATTCAATAGACTAAAATCGGAAAAAGGCTTATCTTACTCAGTTGCTATTTAAGTTGCTTTATGTTATGAATCGAAATGAGAAACTTATAACAGAAAGTATTTTAAAGATTGCACTGAGTCGAATTGCCGATAATTCGAAAAAAAAATTAACTTTTATGAGCTTTAATTTGGGATATCTCACGAATAAATGATTGTTGGTTGAAACATAAAACCTGTTAGGCTGACGTTTTAAATGGAAGGAATAAAATTGCAAAGATTTCGATAGTATTCGCAAGCATATACTATTAATGCGGTCTGAATAATTACAAGAATTATTAATATTACAGATGAAAATCCGGAAATAGTTACTAAACGGAATCTAGAATATGTTCTTAATTGACTCACCCATGGTACTTAAATTGCGATTGACAATCTTTCTTCTAGAGGCACTGTGACGGGCGAAAAAGTTGCAGCTTCGACAGGATAAAAAAAAAAATGCACATGCGAGAGGATTCATGTGACGAAAGACGAAAAGGAAACGAGCAAGCCAGTACCATTTCTTATCAAAAACAAGTTCTATGAATTTTAGTAGGAATGCTAAGGAAGAATAAATCTCTAATTTAATGACATAATACTGCTAAACCTTATATGCTGTCCTAGTCTATAAAGTTAACAGAAATTATGTAAATAGAAATAAATAAATCTTAATATGTTCCCTTAAAGTATCGTGGTCTCGATTACTATATCATAATTGTTTGATTTAGATTTAGTAATTACTTTTCAAGTAATACACCAAAAAAACGAAAATTTCAATGCATTTAGAAATCTTTGACTAATGTAAATAGGTACTTATCTTTATTGAATCAGTTACCTTCACAGAAAAATGGGGGATTTTAAACAAAGAATATAGGTGGTTTTGAAAACCATATAGTTGCTCATTTGTAAAAAACATTAATAGTGCTTTAATCTATCATCACAATGCAGTATTCATAGATAAAATCGGAAAAAGGCTATCTTACTCAGTTGCTATTAAGTTGCTTTATGTTATGAATCGAAATGAAAACTTATAACATAATTATTTTAAAGATTGCACTGAGTCTAATTGCGATAATTCGAAAAAAAAATTAATTGTATGAGCTTTAATTTGGGATATCTCACTATAATGATTTGGTTGAAAACAAAACCTGTTAGCTGACGTTAAAATGGAAGGAAATAAAATCAAAGATTTTCGATAGTCATTCGCAAGCATATAACTAATTAATGCAGGTATGTAATAATTTACACGAGTCATTAAATCTTACGATGAAATCCGGATATTTACTGAAAACGTGAATCTAGAATTTTATTGTTCTTAATTTGACTCCCCATGGGACTTAAATTGCGATTGATCAATCTTCGTCTTCTAGATTGCAGCTGTTGACGGCAAAAAGTTGCAGCTTCGACCAGGATAAAAAAAAAATGCACATGCTAATAGGGATCATCGTGCGAAACGAAAAGAACGAGCATGCACAGGTACCTTTCTTTATCAAAAACAAGTTTTTATGAATTTTATGATGCATGCTAAGGAGAATAAAATCTCCTATTAATGACATATATGCTAAACCTATATCTGCTGTCCTGATCATAAAATAGTTAACTGAATTATTTTAAATATAAAATCAATTAAAATCTTAATCTGTTCCCTCTAAGTACTAGTGTGCATCGTACTATATCATATTGTTTGCATTGAGATTAGTAATTACTTCAGTTATACATACCAAAAAACGAAAATTCAGATGTCTGTAGGAACTTTTACTAATTGTTAAAGCGGTACTTTTCGTTTAGTGATCAGTTAATCTCAGAAATGGCGGATTTAAACAAAGAAGATGGTTGTGTATTTGAAAACCATATCGTTTTCTCATTGTAAAAGAACAGTACTAGTGCATTTATATCTATCATAACAAATGCAGATTCAATAGATAAAATCGGAAAAGCTTATTTACCAGTTCTATTAGTGCTTTAGTTATGAACGAATGAGAACTTATAACAGAAAGTATTTTAAAGATTGCACTGAGTCGAATTGCGACAATTCGAAAAAAAATTACTTATGAGCTTTAATTGGTCTATCCACGAATAATGATTTGTTTTGAACATAAAACCTGTTAGGCTGACGTTAATGAAGGAATAAAATGCAATATTTTCGAAGCCTTCGCAGATATAACATTATGCAGGTATAAATAATTACACGGAATCATAAATTACAGATGAAAATCCGAATATTTACTAGAAAAGTGAATCTAGAATTTATATGTTCTTAATTGACTCACCCATGGGTACTTAAATCGATTGATCAACTCTTCGTCTTCTGATTGCATCTGTGAAGGCGAAAAGTTTCAGCTCGACCAGGAAAAAAAAAATGCACATGCGATAGGTTTCTAGGGACGAAAGACAAAAGGCAAACGAGCATCACAGGTACCATTTCTTTACAAAAACAAGTTTCTATGAATTTATGTAGGAATGCTAAGGAAGATAAATCTCCTAATTTATGACATAAACTGCTAACTCTATTGCTGTCCTGAGTCTAAAATATTAACAGGAATTTGACATAGAAATAAAATTAATCTTAAATATGTTCCCTCTAAAGTACTAGTGTGCATCGAGTATTATCATATTGTTTGCATTAGATTTAGTAATTATTTCAGTTATACATACCAAAAAACGAAAATTTCAGATGTCATGTAGGAATACTTTACTAATGTTAAATATGTACTTATCGTTTATTGATCAGTTCCTTCATCAGAAATGGGCGGGATTTTTAAAAAAGAATCTGGTTGTGTTTTGATAAACCATATAGTTTGCTCATTGTAAAAGAAACATTACTGTGCTTTAATCTATCATACCAAACAATATATTCAATAGACTAAATCGGAAAAGCTATCTTACTCAGTGCTATTAAGTGCTTTATGTTATGAATCGAAATGAGAACTTATAACAGAAAGTATTTTAAAATTGATTGAGTCGATTGCCGTAATCGAAAAAATATCACTTTTATGATCTTTAATTTGGGATATCTCACGAATAAATGATTGTGGTGAAACAAAACCTGTTAGGCTGACGTTTTAAATGGAAGGAAATAAAATGCAAAGATTTTCGATAGTCATTCGCAAGCATATAATAATTAATGCAGGTATGAAATAATTTCCACGGAATTCATTAAATATTACAGAATGAAAAATCCGGAATATTTTATAGAAAACTAAATCTGAATTTATATGTTCTTAATTGACTCACCCATGGGTACTTAAATGGCGATTGATCAACCTCTTCGTCTCTAGATTGCAGCTGTGGACGGGCGAAAAAGTTTGCAGCTTCGACCAGGATAAAAAAAAAATGCCAATGCGAGAGGGATTCAAGTGACGAAAGACGAAAGGAAACGAGCAAGCACAGGTACATTTCTTTATCAAAAACAAGTTTTCTATGAATTTTATGTAGGAATGCTAAGGGAAGAATAAAATCTCCTAATTAATGACCATAATACTGCAAACCTATATCTGCTGTCCTGGTCTAAAATAGTTAACATGAATTATTGTAAATAGAAATAAAATTAAAATCTTAAATAGTTCCCTCTAAAGTACTAGTGGCAATCGAGTACTATATCATAATTGTTTGCATGAATTTAGTAATTTACTTTTCAAGTTTATACCAAAAAACGAAAATTCAGATGTCATGTAGGAATACTTTTACTATGTTAATAGGTACTTATTCGTTTATTGAGTCAGTTACCTTCTCAGAAAATGGCCGGGATTTTAAAACAAAGAATATAGGTGTGTATTTTTAAACCATATAGTTTCTCATTGTAAAAGAAACATTTAACTAGTGCATTTATATCTATCATAACATGCAGTATTCAATAGACTAAAATCGAAAAAGGCTTATCTACTCAGTTGCTATTTAAGTTGCTTTATGTTATTAATCGAAATGAGAAACTTATAACAGAAATTTTTAAAGATGCATTGAGTCGAATTGCCGATAATTCGAAAAAAAAATTAACTTTTATGAGCTTTAATTTGGGATATCTCACGAATAAATGATTGTTGGTTGAAACATAAAACCTGTTAGGCTGACGTTTTAAATGGAAGGAAATAAAATGCAAAGATTTTCGATAGTCATTCGCAAGCATATAACTAATTAATGCAGGTATGAAATAATTTCCACGGAATTCATTAAATATTACAGAATGAAAAATCCGATATATTTTACTAGAAAACGTGAAATCTAGAATTTTATATGTTCTTAATTTGACTCACCCATGGGTACTTAAATTGCGATTGATCATCTCTTCGTTTTCTAGAATGCAGGTGTGGAATGGGCGGAAAAGTTTGCAGCTTCGACAAGGATAAAAACAAAAAATGCACATGCAAAGAGGGATTTATAGTGACGAAAGACGAAAAGGGAAACGAGCAATGCACAGGTACCAGTTTTATTCAAAAATAAGTTTTTCTATGAATTTTCTGTAGGAATGCTAAGGGAAGAACAAAATCTCTTAATTTCAATGACGTAATACTGCTAAACCTATATCTGCTACCGTGACTCTATTAAATACTTAACATAAAATTATTTATAAATAGAAGATAAAATTAAAATCTTAAATATGTTCCCTCTAAAGTGCTAGTGTGCAATCGTGTATTATATCATAATTGTTTGCATTGAGGTTTAGTAATTTACGATTAAGATTACATATCAAAAAACGAAAATTTCAGATGTCATATAGGAGTACTTTCACTAATGTTAAATAGGTACTTATTTGTTTATTGGAACAGTTACCTTCATCAGAAAATAGGCTGGGATTTTAAAGAAACAATATAGGTTGTGTATTTTGTATTAAAATTATTCTCTCTTACTAAATGCGCAGTTACTAAAAGCATACTAAAAGCTTTTCTGAATTCTTAGCCTAGAGAACCGTTGAGGATTAATTTTTAGCACTAAAATCCAGAAGGATCCGGAATGTGAACGCCACATTGTTGCTACAGCTATTTCAGAGAACTGCTCAAAACTGAGTAGAGTTTTGACTCAAAACTGTTTGAAGCGGACTTTACGTTTTGGGTTTGTGTACTTGGAGACGTCTGACGTATGTTTTAGACGGTGACATAGGAACACTGTTTTGCGTGCAGAAAACGTGCAGATGAGCATCTCCGATGGAGACTAAAAGAGGGAAATTGTGTGTTCCTTACGGACGAGTCCAGCTTTGGTAAATAAATTATATTTTTAATTTTTTGTTCTGTTATCACCAAATTTCAGATTTATGTTCAGAAAATTCATGCTTGACAACAGGAGAAATATACGAAAGCGATGACTCCTTTCTTTCTCGCGCTAAATGTTATGTAGTGAATGTGGATTGTGTAGATTAAGCTAAAAGTAGAAGACAAATGTATGCATTGCTCAAAACTGTTAGGGGACATTGTGATTTCGGTGTGAAATAACCACGTATTCGACAAATTATAACCGAAATGAAATAGGAAAGGGTATAGAGGAAAATTGCAAAGTTTGCAATGTTGGATATAGGAAAATGGTTTTGTGATATCGAAAATTACGCGTTCTAGAAAAGGAGTAAAAAGCGACTTCCAGCATTCCTGCTAGTAGAAGATTGAAAAGAATTTACACGAGTTAAGTGTTTTGTAGGAGTAAATACGATGTCTCAGGAAGATGACTCAGCTCTATTGGTAGCCTGGAGCGACCTTGGACGGAAAGAAGATGAACAAACACAATTCACTGTACCGGAAGCGTTAAGAAGTCCTCAAAAGTTCATTTATAAATTGTGTATTCGGATTAAGGAAATTGAAAAAAACTCGGCGAAGACGGGGACAAGGTCGTGCGCCTGCAATAACACAAAGTAGGTATAGCGCCACTTTCTTTCTACAGCACCTTCAGAGGACTACTGGGACCAGAGTATCGACTCATACTTTTCGAAACCGACGTAGCGGTGTGGGTTTGTATGATTTCAGACGTATGGCTTTTTTTCGGTGACACTAGACCACCGTGCTGCCTACAGACTAGGAGCACAGGAGCATCGCCGATGGGGACGAGATGAGTGGAGCATCGAGCTCTTCACAGATGAGCCCGTCATTTGTGTACAACCTGACAGTAAGCGGATCCTCGTATGGATAGAACTGGTACACGAAATATTCCTGCATTTGCGCATGAAAGTGTACGATTTGGTGGAGTGAAGATCTCGAGAGATATATGTAACAATGTCCGCCCCGTCTTGAAGATTATATAGAACGAAGCATTAACGTCTCAAAGATATAGGGGGTGAGATCCTCGGATTTAAGGTGGTCGCTTCGCTGCAGCAATCAGAGATGAATTCATTTTCATGGATGTTAACTTGTTGTGGTGTGCACTACTAGGAGGCGTTGTAATGTGACAGTCAAACCAAATATCTATCTAGAAATCCTTAATTAAATTTACATGTGCCCAATATTTACTGGCTTGAATTCTTAGTGGTAGTACATTGCAAATTAAACCCTAGTGATAAGAATAATTAAATATTTCACTTACCCAATATCCCACATGCATGAGACTTGCGGAGACAAATTTCTTTTTCTAATCTCACATTTATTTTATCAAACACATTTTCTGGATTAAATATGGATTTTTATCACACACATATAAAATATAACTTAGAACACAAAACATGATAAATTAAAAGGGAATAGTAGGCTAATGCCGAAACGTGACTATTCGGAGATAAATTACAGTCCTGTCTCATCGAACATATAAGCAGGCACAATTTTCTTATATTAATTTCGTGCAGTACCCATAATATTGTTGTACATGTGCAAGATCCTTTTTTTTTTCTTTTACTTTCACTTTCTTTAACACATCGCTAGTAATGCACATTCTGGAGTCGAACACCTATAGATAATCTGCTTGAGATATTTTTAGAACGGTATCGTGGCAGATGGATTTTTACTGAGCATTTTCATCTAATAAATCGCAACCTTAGTTCTGCTTCTTTTTATGCAAAATATGACGACAGTCCATATGAAAATATCAGGAACGATGAAATTCCATTAGCTCGACATGCAGAAAACACAAAACCGCACAACGTGGGGCGTCGCTAATTGCCAAGCGACTGCAGGAAGGTCACGGGCGCAGAAGGGAAGAAGAAGAGAAGAAACCAGTCTGATCGGTGCTTATATACACACTTGCAGTTCCGCGATTACGATTAAAATTTGTGATGCTGGCAAACTACGTGGTGTGAGAAGTTACTATTCTCACATAACGCCAGGCCAGTTCGTGCTCAAATAGTACGCAAATTTCTCATGCAGTCATGAATGTAGATTTAGTAAAATGAAAGACAGAAATTAGATGCTTTATCATGTTGACAAATAGTATTTGTTACATAGATTTGTTGCATAGAATTGCTTTATTGTTTATTCAAAGGGAAAACTTGAATTTATGCTAACTGTAGCACGAAAGTCTTTTTCAGATACATGTTTCCCAAATCCTTGCGAAAATAGTGCAAAATGTAAATTGACCAAACCTGATAATATTTGTGTTTGACAACAGGGAAAACTATATGAAAAGTTGACGCTTCTTTTACGTGGACTAGATGAAATTTCGTTCAAAGTTATTAGTGTAAGTGATAAAAAAGTGGGACTGATATATATTATTATATAGGAAAGTTTCGTGGAGTGATAAAATGCTTTTTAAAGTTCTGTTAAAATAAAATCTTATGTTGTGCTAATCATAACACCAAAAGTTGATTTTCATATCACTACCAGAGGTGCGTAAAATAATATGTATGCAAAATAATTTCAAACGCATTTGCAAAACTCCATATTCGAAATATAAAATTAGCAATTATTTAATAAAAATTAATAATTATTTTATATTCAAAATATAAATTAATATTAGTGAATTTTTTTCATTGATGCGTATGAGTTATGTCTATAGAATAGATAGTCTTAACGTCAATTAAGTATATGATATTTCTGTCGCAATTCCTATTTCACTAGAATAAAATTTATTAAAAGTCAGGTATCCAGAGCAAACGATGAGAAAAATGGAATATGTTGTATTATTATACAGAAAAACTGGAACTACTGCACTAAATCTGGACAAAATGCTGCTCTGTTGTCTGTTGAAAAGAAGTATTAAATTTATGTAAATAATATACCGAGGAATTTTTCAGATCCGTGCAAAGCAAATCCTTGCCAAAATTATGGGAAATGTCATGTAACGAAGGAAGCTTTCAGGTGCGATTGCAAACACCCATATTCAGGAGACAAATGTGAAATAGATAATCAAAATTCCTTTTCCTGTTTTTAACGCATATTCATTACTTCATCTTATTATAGAAAACGAAGTAATTGCTGAGACATTTTAATATTAGCTATTGTAATTTGCCAAGGCGTTTGATATTATAAGTCCATTTATGTTAATAATGAGTTCTCTTGATGTAAATAATTGAAAAGTAGTTAGTTGTATTAAAATTTATAACCTTTAGGCACCGGCTTTATTATTAGCAATAGATTATTAGCAATTTTCTTGTTTAGTATGATTAAATCTTGAAACGGCTTCTACTTCAACTATAAGAGTTTATCCTTTCGCATAGTGTAAATTTTTGTCAAGACATTCGTGAAAATATTTCTGTCGTAGTTTATTTAAGCAGTTCTTACACATTACTGCAAACAAAAATTTAATGATATCTGTATTTTAAGATTATATCTTAAATATTTTATAAAAAGAAATATGCAAAGCTACTTATACATTTGCCTTTTGATCGGTTTATATTTTCTTGAATATTTTAACTTTAGAAATTCTGCTAACTCTAATATAAGACGGTTAAAATGAAATTTTGACTATTCTTTAGTTTTAAACATTAATTTTGCCTGTTTCAATAAAGTCTTGAATATGATTTCACAACTCTCTAAAATAACTCGAGGTCATTTTATAAGGTATTTCTCCCACTTTTCTAGCGTCCTTCGTGGTGTAGTGGTTCTGCACGTTGGGCCGGTATTCCAGAGGTACGTGGTTCGATTCCCGGCGAAGGCGGTTGCTAATTTTTCAGCTCTCTGGCTTCCGAAAAATCCTAATGTCTCTGCAATTTTAATTTTCGTCAAAATGTGTTTAGCATTGGAATCAAAAGAAATAAAATGCCCAGGTGTACATATCCACTAAATCATTAACTACGATTTTAACCTTTTTCCTTTCATTCTAGTACTCAAATAAGCCAATCACGTATTTATTCCCATAATTCTCCCCCTTGCATATCCCTTCAGATTGTTCAGCACATGGTTTAGGATTTATGGTAACAATGTAAAATATGTGCAAAAATAGGAAAGCATTTTGAGCAAACAAAATTATTACTGGGTACTACTTGATTTTCACGGCCCCCTCTATCAAAACAGTGCCAAGAATTATCGCCAAAGTTATGATTGAGGAGATGGAATTCACCTGATGTTTCCGAATGCGTTTAAAATACTAGCATATAGTTTGTGGCCTCCATGTCGTCGCTATCGCTTTCAATATGTCATCAAAAAGCTTATCTTTCCCACAGGATTGCCACAGCACGATTTCTGCAATATACAACTCTAGATGATGTCGAGACTTACAACTTCGTTTTTTGTTTTTCCATTTAATTGAGCCTCAAATCTTTCCTATTTTGGGTGCGAGCACCCGTTGTTGGATCAACAGAATTAAAAGTGTGATTCACTGTTAAATGGCTGTAACCAGGCTTTCTAAAGTCGTCTGTTTTGGTGGTCCTTTCACTATATGGTCTTCATACCATTTGATATCCGTGTACTCGCTTCCCATTTTGGAATCTGAATAAGAAAGCACTCCCCACTTGTTATAACCCACCGAATATCCACAGTTGCTGAAGGATCCTGCCAGCGTTGTCTTTTCGCCGCGTGAGCAAACTCCCTTCATTTTCGAGTATATCATTTCATTTATTTCAGCTACTTTTATTGTATTTATTATTTATTGTTGGATTTATTTCAGGTACCTCATTGCAATGAATATCCGTTATCATTCATTACTTGGTTATTTATTGTTTATTATCATTTATTTGTCAAATTCGGCAAACAGCAGTCGAAGCTGAAAGTGAAAGTGTTTATGGCTACCCTTTGTTTGGCTACCGTTTTTTTTTTATATAATTGGACTGTTTATCGCGTGGGCCGTGGAAATCAAGAAGTACCAAAGATTATTAATGAAAATGATAAGGTCTTTGAAATGCATAAGATATTATTAATGTTAATATATCTCTATATGCGCTCTTTTAATACACTATTCTTAAAACGAGGTGAATGCCTGTGATCATATAGTGGTTAAAGCAGTTAAAATAAGTTATCAGTAGCCAAAGGTTAAATATCTAAATTACGTTGTGTTTGCTAACCCATTGATACATATGAATATGAGCTGAGATGTGTAGACTAAAGGAAGAAATATTTAATAAGGAACTTACCCAGAGCTAGTGATGCCAGACGCTAATAATCATATCAAAATTTCACGCGCTAATCAGACATTTATTTTACTTCTGGAGATATTATTATTGACTAAGCAATTGGAATACACATAAAACGTGCCAGATCTCCTAAAACATGGTCCTTTTACATCATCACATGACATGACGAAATACTGATACCCTGCTGTAACATACATCGGATCAAGACAATCTGATTCAATCTGAGCAAATTAAAAGGTATTGAGAGAGCAGAACGGATAACATAGTTTGACGAGTACTAGTTGAAACGAATACTGGTTTCCTAATACTTTTCTTACTGGCATATGTGCGGACTCCAGAATCATATTTTCTATACGAATAATGAGTTTCAAAACATCTTACAGTCCTCCAGCTTATCGACGTTTATGTCTATATGTTGTTTACGAAATTTCGCATGACGTTTCACAGGCAGCAGTCGAAGAAAAACGCACGTATCAGCATGGCGGAAGGAAAGGGCCAGAACTCGTCCTTCATCTCCTCAACTCCAAACGCAGAAAAAAAGAAGAAAAACCAGTTAGTGTAATCCTTTCAAGAGCTGTCTTCATTCGATGACGATAAAGAAACGACGCTTAAATACAGATCTAGATTAGACGAATTTTCATTGAAAATAATGAGAATAGATTGTGCTAAGAAAAAATAAATACGTGCGATACATTTTTATAAGGTAATGTTGGAACCGTTTTCCTTGTAGTCACGAAATGCTTTTTCATGTTTATGTCAAAAATAAATTTTAAATTATGTTTACTGTAACAAGAAATGTTGATTTTTAGTTCTGTGTCTTTTGCAAAAAATAAAGTAAAATATTATACTTCGCGTTCAGAAAATTAATGTAAGGTTAGTAATCAAAATTCAATTATTTTTTTTCAATGACGCATGTGAGGTTTTTCTCTAGAACAAATGTGCTTACCATCAGCAAAATATATGAAATTGATGATGCAGTTCCGTTTTGACTAGATTAAATTTCATTAAATACCATATGTGCAGGACAAATGAAAAGAGAGAACTGAGTATGATGTACTATTCTACAGAAAAATTGGAATAAAATCTCATTTAATTCCGTATGAAATATTACTTTATATTCTATTAAAAAAAATATTACATTTAATTAGCAATGAATGTTTTTCAGATCCTTGTTCCACAAATCCTTGTCAGAATGGCGGAAAATGTCATGTAACGGACGAAGGTTTAAAGTGTGATTGCAAACATCCATACTCAGGAGATAAATGTGAAATCGGTAATTAAAACTTGATATCAAATTGGTCCTTTTATTCTGATGCATATTAAGTATTTCATTAACTTATTGCAGGATACGAAGTAATTGCTGAAACATTTTAGTATAAGCTATTGTAAGTTGTCAAAATATTTGCTACTTTTAAATTAAAAAAGTACATTTAAGTTAGTCATAAGTTCTGTTGATGTAAAATAATTGAAATGTAGTTAAATGTCTTGAATCTTGTAACCGTTAGACACTGGCATATAAAGTAATTACTGAGAGGTTTTAATATTAGCCGTTTTGATTTGTCAACAAATTTGATATTTTAAAATAGAATAATCAAATTTATTTTAGTGATGCGTTCTCTTGATGTAAATGTACTGAAATGTACTTAAATTTTTTAAAGTATTAAATCTTTTAACTTTAAAAAATACTGATACCCTACACCAGCATTAGAGCATTAGTAGTTTAAACACCAGCATTAGAGCAGCATTAGATAAACACCAGCATTAGAGCATTAGTAGTTTAACTACATGGCTTTAATGAACATTTTGAGATATATTTTATTCCAATTAATTATAAGAGAAATCAATTAAAATCTCAGTCCTCCTCGTAACTGAAGCATTTCAATTCCCTACAAGTTCAAATATAGTGATGTGTTTTTTAACTTGTGGAACGTAATCTCTGCTTTAGATTTACGGATTCTGTCGTGCACAGCAGAATATTATCCCTAAAAGTGAATAAAACTTGAAAATATTCTGCAAACGATGTAAAACTATAATATCCACTTTCTAAGACCTTATAAAGGATTTTTTAACCACTAAATATACATTTCTGTTTAGAACTGTAACTACTGTTAGCTATATTATTTGGAGTTGCTACAGCAGTATATTATTAGTAGTTTCTTCGTTAGTAAAACTAACTCAAAACATAAATAATCATATCAAAAATAATGATTCAGTCCAAATGAATACCAACAAGATAATTTATCAAATTATCTTTAAAACGGCTCCTGCTTCAAATGTAGAAGTTTATCCTTTTACATGATAAAATTCTTATCAAGACCTGCGGGAAAGTATTTCTGGATTAAATCATTTAAGCTCTACTCACTCATTTCTGCAAATAAAAAATTAATGATATCTATATTTGAAGTTTTGTATAAAGATAAATTTGTATAGCAACATATATGTTGTCTTTACATTTAACTATACATTAATTTGACATCTTAAACGTATTATATTACTGTTCCGTGATACTGGGTAGTTCCGAGTCTAATTTATACGGGCTAATAAGTACTTGCTTATTAACTGCAATTGATGTTTAAAAAATGTCAGTAAATATATTTTCTTCCTTCAGCCTTTTAATTGTTATTAGTTTTGTACACATACAGGTAATTAAATCTAACTTGTGTTTACATCTGCGTTTCTGAAATGTTTACAATGGCAAAAAAAGAGGTAATTCTTATGTTTCATCGTTAACATTTTTAATCACATCTTTCCATTATTTTACGCTCTACATCTTTATGCTATTTTAGCAAGTAATTCTGCTTGTCTTATGATGAAAGAGCAGTAATTAGCTTTTCAATTACAACAGTACGTTGCATATCACTTCAAAAAATAGCGAATGGAAAAATTGTAGCATGTAGCATATGTAAATTATAATTTATACTTCTACAAATAATCTATGTATAATAAAATAATGGTTATTTTACGTTTTTATTCTAAAGAAATGTTTGTAAACGTGATTTATTTCTCGACACATGCTAAACATGCATTTAAGCAATTTTACATCATGTTTCTCCTTCTAGATCCATGTTTCACAAAACCTTGTAAAAAAGGAAATACTTGCAAAGTAAATGATGGAAAAATGATGTGTGAGTGCAACTCACCGTACGAAGGAATTTTCTGTCAGGCTGGTAAGATTAAAATTATTCCAGTTTTAATATTAATGTGTTTTATGTTAAAAAGTGAAAGTTGTGTTGGGGGTTTTAAATTATTTTCAAGGTATTTACATAACAAATATCTGTAAAAATGGTGGAGCGTATCAACAGAAACAAAGGAAAAGAACGTGAATATATCCATCATTTTAGAGCGAGAAAACTGCGAAATTAGTAAAGTAGATTTAAAAAGTACATTTTCATTTCTCATTTTGTATAAGGAATGCATTTCTTATCGCTATAGTAAAAACTTTTATTTTATTGTTAACTATTAGATCTGGTTTGCTTTATTTAATTGTGGTAAAGAACTCGAGGGATATCTGCTTAGGGGTAAGGGATGTCTTCGCGAAAATCCTTCTCAGGGAAACTGGCTGGTATGCACGCTACACATGGAGGAAACCTTAAAAGCGCACATGCAGCCAACCTGTTCACAGGAACTCGAGCCCCTGTTCGGTTACAGCCGAAAACACAGAAGCAAAAGCATCGCGGACCAAAACGTCACGGAGAAAACAACGCAAGGAGAAAACGTCGCACTACAAAACATCGTGGAGAAAGGAAAGCAAAGAGAAAACATCGTGGTACAAAATATCGTCGACGAAAATAAAGCGGTTGAAAATCTTCACAGTTTAAAAACATCGTCGTCGAAAATATCGTGGTAAAAAATACAGCAGCTGCAAATCATCGCAGGACGATAACATCGCACTCATGCGCTTTTCAGGTTTTAAAAGTTGTAAATGAGTATTCGCATAAAGATTGGGAAGCGCAGTAAATGTTAACGGCACTTTAAGAATAAACGGAAACAAAAAAAGATATAATTTTCACTAAAGCAATACCATATTAACAGACGTGAAAAAAAGTAATTTGATAATTAACTAAGCAAATTTTATAGAGGTAACATCTTGCAGTTATTTATCATCATTTTTCTAAATACTTTTAGGCTGTATTTTAACTTAAGTTTTTTACTATAAAAAAATAATTTGTTAATGACCTTAGTTAATTAACTAGGTAAATTTAAAATTATCTTAAGTGCTATAAGTTACATTCTTTTTCAATTTTTAAATGCTTAAATTTCCTTCTTACTTTTTCAGCAAGTTTTATTAGTTCATTCAAAAATATGAAATATAAAAGTAAAAATATCCCTGTTTTCTTTTTGCGCTCCCAAATCATTATAAAAAATGCATTTACAGCTTTTAAAACATAAAAAACGCACGTATGCGATGTTATCGTTATGCGATGATTTGTAGGAACTTTATTTTTTACCACGATATTTTCGACGATGATGTTTTTAAACTGGGAAGTTTTCGAACCGCTTTATTTGAAATGACGATATTTGGTCCCACATGTTTTACAACTATTTCTCTTTATTTTCGTTTCTCTCACGATGTATTCAAGATGTATCCCACCGCTGCCACCACTGTCATACATAATCGATCCTTTTATCAATTTCCTCTTTGTCGGTTTTGTTTTATTTAATACTGTACGAGGTTGGTATTGTGTAAAAGTAATGTACAGAAAATGTGCTTGGATATTGATTAATGAAATACGTCCCAAAGAAAGGACAAATTTCATTCTTGGCAGGGGCGTGAAATGCACATACTCGGTAAGGGGATGCTACCAACCAAGCCTGCCGGAAGAAAAGTTAAGCCAACGACTTATAGCTGAAAGGAGAGATGAGAAAATCTGGCAACGAGAAGAAGAAGCGTGCTTGATGCGAGAAGGACGGCATGCTCGTGTGAAAAAATTTGAAATTAGTTTGGCTGTATACCGAGAGTAGAGTTTGTCTTTTTTTTTGTTAAGAACTGAGAGATGCAATGTATTACTTGTGCTTTTGATGTAAATGTGAATAAAAGCAATACTTTGTGGAAAGTTAATGTGTATTTACAAAATTTAAAAATATAGCTCATGTTATTCTTAAACCTGCATAAGTGTCCCAGTTTATTTCCTGCAAATAGTGTTGACTAATAACATTCATAAGTGGATAGAAACGAACCGACAAAGATGAAATTGATCAAAGGATCAATTATGTATGACATTTTCGTAGCACGACGTTTTCGTCTTGCGTTGTTTTCTCCGCGAAGTTTTCTTCCGCGATGTTTTCGGCTGACAACCCTTGTTTGAACTGCCAGTGTTTAGTTACTTTACTGTTTGGTCGCTGGTGGACCCTAACTATTTTAGGAGACATCTCATTAAAATAGCTATTACGATTTTGTCTTATGAACGTCTCTGACTTTAAGTCAGAGGAGAAACTATCAAATACCTAAAGCTTCAAACTCTTATTTACGAAAGAACATAGATTTTGAAATGTAATTTAATATATATTGCGTATTAAGATATAGATTAAGATAAGTAATTAGTATGAAATTTATAAGTGATAATGGAATATACTAGTTGAATAAGTGATACTGGAAAGAACTGAAATAACAATCATCAAAATAACGAATTCGTTCCTTTGATGTTCAAATGAACACCAATATTCAAATGAAGAATAAATATTCAAATGAAGATAATTTATTGGAATAAAGATAATTTATTGAATTATATTTATTTAATATTATGAAGATAATTTATTGGAATTCAAATGAATATTCAAATGAAGATAATTTATTGGAATTCAAATGAATATTCAAATGAAGATAATTTATTGGAATTCAAATGAATATTCAAATGAAGATAATTTATTGGAAGCCATTTAACATAACTAACATACGTAGATTTTTTAACTTTTTCCATAATATTGGGTAGATTTAAATACGCTTCAAAAAGCAGTTTTAGTCGACAAATATATTCAAAAGATTAACTTATTAAAAATTTGCTTAAAATTTTTTCGCTTTATTTTTTGTTCTTATAACTGTACATGCTTTACAATTTTATATGAGTTTGATCTTTAAATTGGTACATTTGGATTACATATGTTATCAAATTATCTAGGTAAAATCGCTATATTTTCCTAGATTTTATTCAGCTAAATTTCTCTTAAGTAGAAACAGAATTAAATCTTCCCAACAGAAATTCAGGGTTGCTTAAATGAATTTGTGAAGTTAAGAAGAAAGCTTCTTTTACGTCTTATCCGAATATGATATCCAAGAAATCTGAGTTTTTATCTGTAATTTTTAAAGCGCCTAGATTTAATTTCTCATTGATGCAAATTACTTTCATCTCACTGAGGCAAAGAATTTAATTAGTTTATTTCGTTCAAACTGAAAGTATTCAGAGAATGCTGCATAAATGGAGAGATTTCCATGTATATTTATTATATAGGATGAAGAAAGAATTGAATCCCGTCTGCACCATCAACAGTTATAAAGATGAAAACAGCTCTATTTAAGCAACAGACCTGTTATTTCTACAACTTTCATTAATACCTTATAGGCATTATGAAAAATCTATGGTAGGCTTGAGTAGCTAAGGAAGTATTTATAAGTTTATATACCTCGACAGAATACGAGTACATAAAATAAATTTAATTACATGGGAATCCTAATCATTTGTTTTTCATTCGATAATAATTCAAGTATACTCCTATGGAATATCAATTTCATTTTACTAAGTCTTGCACTTAAAGTACACCTGTATAAATTTTAACCGAATAGATATTTTGTTTTTTCTATCTAATTTACTGGCATCGTACATAAAAATGACGATTGAATTAAGAGAGTAATTGCTTGCCAACGCATTTTGGCATACATTTAAAGAAAATAAAAATTACGTAAAAGATAAATTATAATTTTACTTTTTTTCGTGTCTATAAGGACCAATGTTTTATGTATCAAGGCCGTTTAGTCAGTTATTTTAACATAAAAGAACATTAAAAACAAATCAGCAGAGTCTTACACTTCCTACTTCATATTCAAGAATAAATTTTAAATCTTCATAGCTTACTGATATTTCTTTAAGCACATTTAAAGTAGTCAACGTGCGGACATATGTCTCCCTGTAAAAGGTCCCTGGCGAGACATATGCCCCAGTACCCTGTAAAAAGTTTAATTAGCAATAGCCCTTTGATGCTTAATTTTAATTTGGTATATTCCCTCCGTGCTAAAAATGTTGATCATTTTGTGCAATGCGTCATTTCGAGACTAATCCAAGCCATTTTAAGACTCTAGCAAAACCGTGGTGATGTAACTGGATACTAAAACTCAAACTGCCAATAATAATTTTACAGCAGTACTAATTATCCAATCAAGTACACTGAGAATCGAAACTAACTACATTGGTTATCATAAATTAAGGAAAAAACACAAAAATCACGATTACTGAAAACGTTAGAATTTTATGAAACTTACCCACAATATACAACATATAGTAAGGTATCAAATAACATAAAATAAATTACCAGACAATTATGGTAGTACAGAAATTAGCACATATATAAAATGAACAAATCGAAGGTGTTAGTTTGCTATAGGAAAAGTACCTTCAGTATGGAATATGGTCACCTCTAGAAGCAATACAGCACATACAGCGATGCTTGATGCTTTCACTTATGCGGTCTATCAGTTCCATAGGAAGCGAGAGCCATTGCTCTTGCAAAGCAGTTGCAAGCGCGGCAAGGATCTGAGGGGGCGGATTGAGAGTAGCTAGACGTCTCTCTAAAGCCTCTCAAATGTGCTCGATAGGATTCAAGTCTGGGATCGAGCTGTCCACTCCATGCGCATAATTCTTTCCTGTTGAAGATAATCATCTACGATGCGAGCCCTGTGTGGTCTTGCGCTATCGTCCTGTAACCGGAAAGCATCACCTATTTCCCCGGCACATGGGCGCACATAAACATCAAGGATGTCATCTCTATAAACCGGAGCATTCACTGTTTCCTTTGGAAAGACATGGAGGTCTGTGCATCCACCCAAAGAGATGCCACCCCAAATACAGACACTGCCTCTTCCTTATGCATCTCTTTAACGGATGTTTGACAGATGATAATGGGTTCCAGGTTCTCTCCATATCAAATAACGCGTACTATTGCTTTCTAGACTAAACCTGGACTCATCCGTAAAGAGAAAAGTCCTTCACTGCTCAGGCGTCCAGTGGACATATTGTCGTGCCTACTGCAAACGGTCCCTCTTACGGCGTGACGTGAGCGGCACGCAAATGGCTGGTCGTCTCGCATATACAGACCACCTTCGTGAAGCCTTCTACGCACAGTTGATGTTGACACCAACCTTCCGATGGCTGCAGCAAGGGAGAATCTAAGAAGAGTCAGAGTAGCGGTTCTATACCTGCGTGCACATAATATCAAATATCGGTCATCGGCGCTCTTCGTAGGAGTTGGCCGTCCTTGGGTTAACCTCCTAGATGCCGAATCTGCGGTTTGAAATCGCCTCCAACGTGTATGAGTCACAGAAGGACTCACAGTTAGCCATCTGGCCACTTCTGTTTGCCTTTATCCTGCCTCTAGTCTCCCAATGGCTTTCCATCGTAGTTCTGCAGGCAAATGATGCCTGGAGGTCATTGTTACGAATTGGCTATTTCACATTTCTGATGTCACTATCGCAGTAAAATATGTGGGCTTGCTCTCTAACATGGATTTTATTCTCCTCGCAGATGACGTATTCCGAGTGCAGAGCCACTAATTTGCATATTGCAGTTTTACTCACCTACTCTTACTTAGCAACATATTCAAACTTTTTTGAGGTTTGGCTTATTTTTGAGGGAGTTATGGCTATTTTTGTTATTTTTCCTTAATTTATGATAACCAGTGTTAACAATTATTTTTATTATTAAGATTAAATTAGAATTAAGATTTCAGCCTGAACAAAAATAGCATTTGCTTTCTACACATTGGACTAATTGGACTGCTGCCGGCTGCTCTCTTTTTTCTGCAAAGCTATCAAAAATGTAAAGATTTTGAAATAGACAAAAGTAGCGTGCCTAGTTGTTTGTGGCCGCAGTGCGTTTACTGAAATAAAAATGAAGATTTAATCTGTCTTGGCTGTCAGTTTCCTGTTTATTATGAATCAGCATTCTACGCAATCAAAATTCTTGCTGCTCACTGCAGATTCAACGTTTTACGTTCTACGGTATCTACGTGCTACGCAATTTCTATTCTTCTATGCCATTCCATGGATCAGCATTTCTACGCATCTGGGCAATCAGCTTTTCCACATCATTAGTACTGTTAAGTCTTTTCATTACATATATACGTACATATTTAATTTTAAAATTCAATTTCAAATTAATCTTTAACTTCTTATTTGTTATTCTTATTGGTCCAGAAATTGTTTGCTCATATTGTATTTGTTAGATATCCCATGATTCACATTTAACACTTTTAATCTTATAAATTATTGCAATCGTTTAATTTCATTAAATCGTATTCATTGTCATTATAAGTGTTACTTAACAACTGGATGATCTAAGTAGCTGTGAAGGAACCAGATACTTTTTTAACAATTTTTAACCACATTCTCGGTTACGTTTTAGTGTAGAATTTGTCAATTATGTATTTATACAGTTTCTTTCATCATCTGAACAGAAGCTGACAGATGTGCCTTGCTACTTGCCAAAGGGGAATGCAACAAGGAACACGAAACCTGTTATGAGGGTACTTGTAAGTGTGAGAAATCCTATGCCTATTCAAAAGATGGAAAAGCTTGTGAAGGTAAGTAAACAAACACTGCCAAATTCGCTATTGATTTCTCCCCAAATCCTCATGTTAGGTATGCGTTGCTTGCTTGGTTAAAGTAATTAAATTAAATTTGAATGATGAATACGTAGGATCTTACTCTGTTTGGCCACATAAACTCTACTAGATCCTATTAAGGAACATGGCGACTTCTCGCACATAATAATACCAGCGCAGAAGGAAGAAAATAACCCTTTGTTATTCTCAACTTTGAACAGAAAGGTACGGATGAAGGTTCAGGTGCGTAAGCACGTGAAAACAGGCTCCTGGACTGGTAACGCGCATCCTGAGTGTAACGCGTGTAGAAAAACATGGCTTTCCTACCATAGCATTGATGACAGTTGACAGAGAATTTCAGATATGGATTTTCGATGAAGTGATGGTGAGGCTTACGTATAACAAAATCGGAGTTACTCCGCTGGGAAGAAACTGTCAGACCGCTGCTGCTTGGTTAGAGGAAGATAGAATTAGATACGTGATGTCAAGAATATAGCTGCGTGAATTCCCTGTAATCTTATTGGTTAAAGGCACGGATGAACTGAAAGGCCATAAGTTGTCGAAGCTTTACAATAGCACTGACATCTTGCGGTGGAACTTAAGAATCGTTAAAATATAAATTCAAGTCTAAAGAGAAGTGCTGGACTAGTATCTTAAGTTAAGGCTAACTAGGTTGACTCAACAACCTACCCGAGGTGATAATTATTCAAAAGGCTAAAAGGCATATCAGCAACTTCGAGTAAAAATAAGGACAGGTTCGTAAAGTGCGCTGGCTAGCGAAAACCCGCTCTGAGTAAACTTCCATATTTGCTGTTAAAATACTCACTTCCTTTAACTTTAAATTAGCATTCTTTCAAGGAAATGCGAGGGGAAGTTGAGGAGTTAAAGAAAGATAAAAAAATTTGAATAATTCGTTAGGTGAACTGAAGAAAATTCTACAAATGTAAATAATTAAAAGCAGTAAAATAACACATCTTACGTGTTTGTGGCTTTTAATATTTTATATCATCTTTAAAGGTTTTGTTTCCGAAGTGAGATAATAAAATAATTGATATTTCTAGTTTTCTAGTTAATTTATTTTTATAGAAGTAGATTAAAACCTGAATAAGCAGCAAATGGGCATATTAATGAGGAAATTCCTCGCAAAAATGGTATATGGATCAATCTGTAATAGAATGCACATAAGGACAAAAAATTTAAATATTATGAATTTAAAATGGTTTATGACTTCAACAATTTTTTATCATTATTCTTATTGCCCACAAAATGTGTAGTATAGGTAAATTATTTTATCCAGGAACGTTTGCGATATGCTTACTCACCCTCGATGGAAAAACCTTTCCTTTATTAAATATCGGTGCAGATGTCTGACAATGACCCCTTTTCTTTTTATAATGTCTCAAATGCTTTAGTGGAATTTACTTTCGCGAAAATAATCGGCTAACGCACGTGATGCTCACATTATTTTTCAACATATCTATAAGCAATTGGCCGAGATAGATTTTCTCATCGATTGGAAAGAATTAAATTTCAAGAAATGGTGAAGAATTTCCTTTTGAGCTTAGCGTTGTCATGAGCATTTGAAACTATGTATATGTGAGTAAGATGACTAATAGAAACTGTAAAGCCAATAAACCGGACACGCAGGAATTTAGACTTATTTAGCTTTCTAAATAAATGCTTAAAAAATTTTCTGTGCCAGTCGACATGTGAATTACATGCTTAAACTCACATTTTCCAGTGAAAATTCAGTGATTAATGCATTTAATGGATTGCCACCGGAATGATCCCAAGCTAAATATTTTTGATCACACTGTTTCATAAAAACCAGGAACTGGTCTGTAACTTTTATAAAATATTTTACGTGCTGTGTGCAGTACTCATATGCATTTTGTAAACTTATCACGTATGTTAATGAAGTTATAAAGATCACTTTATAAATTTTAATTTTCATACTTTTTTTCTCTGTAATATGCAAGGGTTTCAAATAAAGTTAAGGAAACTCACTGGAAGAAGTCCTATTTCCGCTGTTAACATGCATTTCGCATATTCGTTTTTCGCTATCATGAGGTCTGTGCCGCAAAGGCACTGGAGATAAAGTGAATGCCTGACGTTGGGTCCGAGAACAGCTGTGAAGATGGGCTGGAAGAAGTGAGAAAGTTCAATAGATAAAATAAACAGAAATTTGGAATAAAACTAATGAATATTCGGTAAGATATGAACATTTAAAGAAAGGTTAGGTTAGGTTATTTAATTACGGCAAAGCATAGAGGGCTATCTGCCTAAGGGGAGGGATGCCTTCGTGGAGGACTTTCTAAGATTTAAAGAAATTAAATTGTAATTACTAATGCTTAAATAAAGGGTAAATCTGAACAAGAGGGCAAAACTTTAGGGGGGATAGAAGGCAGCTATACAAGCAATATTCGTCATAGAGCGTATGGTCGGAACGGAAACGGCGAGCCACTAGGCGGCATTGTAAATAAAATGTATAAAATGGGTCGGTCCTCATATTTAACGGCATTTTCTACCTTGGATTGCTCAGAGGATTGCTGATTATACGAATGAAGAAATTTCCAGCGTGATGGATAGCTCGAGGTGGTCCCATAGCGTGGCCACCAAGATCACCGGATATCACGTGTTTGGACTTTTTGGACGAAGCACCTTCGTACCAGGTCCTCATTATGTGGGACCCATAGAGTTTTTGGACTGTGGCGCAAAGCCTAGTCTACGCATTCCCCATTGAAACCAAAGTGGATCTAGTCGAAAAGATCGCCATTATTGCTGGCGATATTATTCGGCGGATATGATTTGGATTATTGCTGGCGATTCGTTATTCGGCGGATGCCTGGTGTCTTCGCAAATGTGCATCAATCCCTATCCCGCAGGCGTGAAGCCTACATTATAGCTGGAAGTTCTTTTGAGTAACTTTTATGAGTATGTTCTGTTAATAAAATGATTTCTGAAATATCTTCTGTCATTCTTGTGTTAATTCTTTAAATATGACGGCGGAAATCTGCCCTTTAACTTCTCACCGCTTGCATTCTGACCATATATTGTAGGATGTATATTGCTCGTACAGCTTCCTTCACCCCTAAAGTTTTACCTTCTTCAGATTCACCCTGTATAGCACATTTCTTCCTTCATAAATTTTAAGATATTTTCCCGTGTAATGTAACTGGGAGCACTCTCGACGAGATCGCATTGCGGATTTCTTCAGTGTCCTTGCGTAGAAAAAATTCTAAACAAAGAAAATGACTCTAGAAGTGACGCCTCAACTAAAAGATGGTGGGCGATAATTCATCTCTATGCGGATTTTGCGAATATTTTCCTCAACTCTCAGTTGCGCTTTAAAAGGCGTCGTATATAAATCATTTTCTTTATTTCCGCATGCCTTCGTGGTGTAACAGGAAGCACGCTTGACGCGTATTCAAGAGGTCCGGATTTCGAATCCCGGCAATCGCACTGCGGATTTTTTCAGTTTCCTGAAATCAAAAAGTTCTAAAAAAAATCTACAAATTATTAGCCACGTACGTAGGAAAACTAAAACAAATGGTCTAGATTGAATATCCTGGAAACTGAGCAGAACAGCGGGGATAGAGTGGGCGAGTTGTATTGCAGTTACTTTCTGGCACTAAATGTTTAATAAGAGATTTACCACTAACTGTCATTTTCTACTTTATCGGACAACCCTTTGTTATAAGTAAACTAACATGTCATAACAAAATGAGCAAAAGCACACATCTGCCGTAAAATAAGAGACAGGCAATAGTGCTTACGTAAAGAACATCTGTTTGATGTCAAAATTAACAAATGTAAAGAACTTATTGCCTTTAACAAAAATATATATTGATAGTTACACTTGACGTATACAGCATTCAAGAAATTCAGAAATTCATAACCAGGGATTTAAACATTATACCACCACCAATAATAATAATAATAATAATAAAAGATCTATGAAAGGATGATTAAGTTTACCTGTGTTAGCATGTCAAGCGTTGTACAGAAAGATTGTATGCTATAAGTAAGAGGAAAATACTACTTTCTTAAGCTTTCGATTGTTTTAATTAAATGGTAAAACCTTCTAGACAAATAATTCTCCTGTGTATTCCCATGATTATTAACTGTACCTGAATGTTAATACGCGTTATAAATGTGAAATTTGATGCCATACACAGTGTCTAATAGGTAAATGATTTTGTCCTTAATTAATTACAGTATCTTTAATATTAGGCCACACTACGTTTGGCAGTATTAATTAAATGAATTTTTCCTCTCCTTCTAAACTTTTATTCCTTTTCAGATGATATATGCGGTAAAAAAAGTGGGATAGCTGTGTGTCCAGAAAATGCGGAATGTAATGAAATCACGAATGGATATGAATGTGTTTGCAAGAAAGGTTTCTACCAAAATAGTGCCAACTGCGAGAAAAGTGAGTATAATATATTTTAAAATCTAATTTCTTTTCATTAGCGCAATGCGCTATTTTTATATCAAAGCATAGCTAAAAGGATTCATAATTAACCTTCAACATCAAAAGTATAATTTAGATCATGCATAAGTGCAGAAACTCAAATGAAAATATTTATATGAATTATATAAAGAATATTTTCCATTGCATAGAATTAACTAATTCAAAGGAATCGATTTTTAAAATGATCTTAATTCGCAAAACCATTGATTTGTTTCTTTCCGAGTTTTATCTTGCATAAGAATACTACATATTATTTTTTTCAGTAATGTTGTGATGCATTTTAGAGTGATTTAAGCTGTTATATCAAAGGTCTTGCTGGATAATAACACAATTGCCTCAGCTTCTGCTACACATAAAATATCTCATTGAATGAGAAAGTTTGTCCATTCATTTCACTTTCTCATTGTAAAGGAAGAATGTTACCGGATATCATTTCATATTTATCTTAGTTTCAGAATAATCGTTGTCGAATTAAGGTTTCCTGCATAGAAACCAAACGTTGTTTCCAAAAAGGCAAAAACAAGAGTTGCTTTCAGCCTGTGCTGCGATACTATGGACTGTTTCTTGTTGCGAGCTTGTATAAATCATTAAGGGGGATCTTGCATAGAAAACACCACGATTACTTATGTCAGGTGATGTTCATACATTGTTTAAAATGTAAACAGTAAGTTAAACAACCTAGTAGGAATTTTCACATTTTTACTCACACTTTAGAAAACACTTTTTCACGCAATTCATTTGAAATTTCCAGTATATTTCTGAGCAATTTTGTGTGTTTCCTCCTTCATCTGCAATTTTATCTCTAAGAAGTAGCAATAAAAAAGTCTTAAGGAAGTGTACTTTTAATTAAGACACAATAACACGCCGAATAAATACTAATTCAGAAGTCAAACAACAAAAATCAGCGTTATATTTACCAAATTTTCACAGGACTAGTTTCGATGGTTTTACCGAACCACCATCTTCAGCTGCAAAATCGCAAATGAACCAGATAAGAAATAATGATTAGATAAGATAAGAAAGCCTGGACAAGAATAAGCAAGTGGCGCCATCTGTTGGTAAAACCAGAACTAAAACATAATTTCTTTAAAGGCCGAAGGCAAATTTGGATTGGAATTAGGATCGTTAACTAGAACAGAAAGATTTTTATGAATGTGAAATGCCTCTAGAAAATCCAGTTCTCCAATGGAAGATGTTTTTTGAATAATTTTGGCAGCAGAAAAACTGAAAGTGTGGTTTTCGGACCAACAATGTTGAGCAACAGAAGACTTCTGTGTTTCCTTTTTCTAACATATGCCTCATGTTCCTTGACGCGAAATTTTAAGGCTCTCTAGTTTGGCCAATGTAAATTAAACCACACTGGCAAGGAATCCTATAAATACCCCAGGAATTCATATCCGGGAATGGGGGGTCCTTGAGTATGGAACTCGGAATTTTATTGATGGGAGAATAAAACAACCCGAAAGTTTTAAATTTCTGCAAAAATATGTGCAAACTTTATAGCTAATTGATGGAAAGAAGGGAATGACAACAGAATTTTATAATCTCCTAAAACAAGAGTGTGCCTTTTAGTGTGTTGAGAGAGAATTTTTTAACTGCTTGATTAATAATGTTGGGGGTAAGCCCCTGTCAATATCTATTGCTTTTAAAAATTTAGTTCATCAAGGGCTAGTTTGGAGGAGCCAAACTTGAAGAGCACGGAAAAACATAGGATAAAATGGAGCTAACTTTGTTTAGTCGGATGACATGATTTAAAGTGTGGTGGAAGGCAAACCGATGAAGGTTTACGGTAAACCGTAGTACTGAAGTTGGATGTGCTACGTGTGACCAGAATGTCGAGAAACGGAAGAGAATTGCAAGTCTCAAGTTCAAAAGTGAACTGAATAGCAGGATCAATAGAATTCATTGTTATTTAAATCATCTTTGTTACCTTCAAACAGAGTAAAAGTATCGTCTACGTAGCGGAACCATGCCGGGAAGTTTAAAGTTTCAAACAATTTTGATTCATAATAATGCATGTAGATATCAGCCAGGATGGGACTGAGGGGGCTTCCCATGGCTAATCCCTCAGTTTGCTTGTAATATTTATTTTGGAAAACAAAATGTGTTTGTTTCAAACAGAGGTGAGTGAGAGAAATTAGCTCATCAATTTCGATGCAGAGAAATGAAATTCGCGAAGTCTGGTTTCTAGACATCTTAATGCACCCTCCACTGGGACATTGGTGAATAATGATTTTACATCAAAGAAACCATGAGTAAATTACTAGGAGAAATGTTTTAACTTTTTTTACAAACTCTATTGAATTTTTTATGGTGTGTAAATGTTATTGTCTAATAGAGTTGAAAATCTAGAAACTAAAATTTTAGCTAATGGATTACGAGGCAGTACCTAAATTTGATACAATAGGACGGAAAGGAATACCACTTTTATGAATTTTGGGAAGAGCATATAATTTGGCACAATTCGCAACAGATGGGATAAGTGAATGTTTTAAGTTGCCTGAAGTGATTTGTGAAGATTTGATCGCAGTTTTTATTTTTGACAAGTCCGAAGGTGAAGGATCTTTAGGGATCGGATTATATATGGGTCCTTCGTTATATCCCAAATTGATCCCAAATTTTATTCAAATCAAATCTAATCAAAAACCTTCGAGTCGCGTTTCAAGAATTCTGTTAAATTGCAAGCTTGCCTTACTTCGGTCCGTCATAAGGGATACACGTCAACAATTGTCCAAAATTGAACGTGAACTCTCTAAGCTTCATCTGGAACTCGCTAAATCATATCCAAAATTCACTGCCCTTGAACAAAAGTCTTGGTCTAGAACGGAGAATGCAGTTAACCGTCAAAAAAACACCCTTGCAGTTAAATTCGAAAAACTTCTTTTACAATCTTCCAGTTCAGGTAGTTCAAAAAATCTTCCCATTGTAAACATCAAGCCAATAGTTAATATTTCTAATGTTAGTCTTTCAGAAGAACAAGAGAGAATTCTAAAATATAATTTTAACTTCTCACAAACCTGTAAACCCTCGATTCCAAAGATTTTGGCTCCTATCGAAAAAGCTTTCAAGTTCAGTAAAGTTTCAGATTCACAGAAAGAAATGATTAGGCATCTTATCGCTCATAATGTGAAATTCAATAATAAACCTTTGAAACCAAATCTAACTGCGAGAGAAAGAGCTACATTGCGTGAAATTCATTCTAACCCGGATATTATTATTTCAAAGGCCGACAAAGGTGGCCAGATAGTCGTCATGGATAGGAACACTTACATCGATGGTGTCACTAAACTCTTAAACGAAGGACCCATATAATCCGTTCATAAAGATCCTTCACCTTCGGACTTGTCAAAAATAAAAACTGCGATCAAATCTTCGCAAATCATTTCAGGCAACTTAAAACATTCACTTACCCATCTGTTGCGAATTGTGCCAGATTATATGCTCTTCCCAAAATTCATAAAAGTGGTATTCCTTTCCGTCCTATTGTATCAAATTTAGGTACTGCCTCGTATCCATTAGCTAAATATTTAATTTCTAGATTTTCAACTCTATTAGACAATAACATTTACACCATAAAAAATTCAATAGAGTTTGTAAAAAAAGTTAAAAACATTTCTCCTAGTAATTTACTCATGGTTTCTTTTGATGTAAAATCATTATTCACCAATGTCCCAGTGGAGGGTGCATTAAGATGTCTAGAAACCAGACTTCGCGAATTTCATTTCTCTTGCATCGAAATTGATGAGCTAATTTTCTCTCACTCAACTCTGTTTGAAACAAACACATTTTGTTTTCCAAAATAAATATTACAAGCAAACTGAGGGATTAGCCATGGGAAGCCCCTCAGTCCCATCCTGGCTGATATCTACATGCATTATTATGAATCAAAATTGTTTGAAAACTTTAAACTTCCCGGCATGGTTCCGCTACGTAGACGATACTTTTACTACCCTGTTTGAAGGTAATAAAGATGATTTAAATAAAGTTCTTTCAACAATGAATTCTATTGATCCTGCTATTCAGTTCACTTTTGAACTTGAGACTTGCAATTCTCTTCCGTTTCTCGACATTCTGGTCACACGTAGCACATCCAACTTCAGTACTACGGTTTACCGTAAACCTTCATCGGTTTGCCTTCCACCACACTTTAAATCATGTCATCCGACTAAACAAAAGTTAGCTTCATTTTATTCCTATGTTTTCCGTGCTCTTCAAGTTTGCTCCTCCAAACTAGCCCTTGATGAAGAACTAAATTATTTTAAAAGCAATAGCTATTGACAGGGGCTTTCCACCCAACATTATTAATCAAGCAGTTAAAAAATTCTCATCTCAACACACTAAAAAGCACACTCTTGTTTTAGGAGATTATAAAAATTCTGTTGTCATTCCCTTCTTTCCATCAATTAGCTATAAAAGTTGCACATATTTTGCAGAAATTTAACTTTCGGGTTGTTTATTCTCCCATCAATAAAATTCCGAGTTCCATACTCAAGGACCCCATTCCGGATATGAATTCCTGGGGTATTTATAGGATTCCTTGCCAGTGTGGTTTAATTTACATTGGCCAAACTAAGAGAGCCTTAAAATTTCGCGTCAAGGAACATGAGGCATATGTTAGAAAAAGGAAACACAGAAGTCTTCTGTTGCTCAACATTGTTGGTCCGAAAACCACACACTTTCAGTTTTTCTGCTGCCAAAATTATTCAAAAAAACATCTTCCATTGGAGAACTGGATTTTCTAGAGGCATTTCACATTCATAAAAATCTTTCTGTTCTAGTTAACGATCCTAATTCCAATCCAAATTTGCCTTCGGCCTTTAAAGAAATTATGTTTTAGTTCTGGTTTTACCAACAGATGGTCGCCACTTTCTTATTCTTGTCCAGGCTTTCTTATCTTATCTAATCATTATTTCCTATCTGGTTCATTTGCGGTTTTGCAGCTGAAGATGGTGGTTCGGTAAAACCATCGAAACTAGTCTGTGAAAATTTGGTAAATATAACGCTGATTTTTGTTGTTTGACTTCTGAATAAGTGTACTTTTGCTTTATGTCTTGGCAGCTAGTGTTTCCGTTCTCCCAAAATGCCTAAAACATATAACAAAAATTTTGTTGCATATGAAATTAATAACACGTAGTGTTTCAAAAACAATATATTTGTTTTCTTAGAGCTGTATTCATTTCTTCCTGTCTTTCCCTACTTTTTAAAATCTGCTTCCCAAAATTTTTAAAAGCTTATGGGGAAAAACTCAGTACATTTGGCTGAAAATAGGAAAAAATGTTTTAATTTAAAACTTTCGTCTAACAACTTCAGTGCAGCCAAATGGAATTTATTCCATTCTCACTCGATTCATCCTAATATGTGTTCACTAAAACCGTCTAAGCGGCAAGGGCGTATATATACGGCCTATGCTATTTTTTGTGATATCTGTAAGAACGTATATATACGTGCATAGCATATTAAAATATGTCAAAGAAATTAAGGCAATATCTCAAAAGAAAACAAATCCAAGTATGAAATACCAGGTGAGTGTTTACATTAAAATCAAAAAAATAATTTGTTCTCATAGTAGTTTCGCGAAATTTGTGCTTTCTTAGCGAAAACCCTTGGCCACTCAGAGGGTTAAAAAAAAAGAAGAAAATTCCATATTTGATTACGCTGTTCTCAGATCTCTTAATTGCTATTTATTTATAACATTTATTCCATTTTTTAGCTTAATGCAGGAGCTAATGAACAAACTAAAGCAAAAATGCGCTGATGCAAACTAAAATAAAAAGTAAGTTTAAGGATTCAATGTCCACGTATGAAAGTAAATGCAACAAATTAAAAAATAAATAAACAATATTAAATACAAAATAGTTTCATTAGTTTTCATTTGTTGCTAACGAATATGATGATTTTATTTATCTTTGGAGCTTTGTATGTAATACATTTTTAGCACTTCTACGATAATTTTACTTCAATACATCCTGCAAATTTTATGCACTTCAGTCATAAACATAATTTTATTCTCCTGAAACACTGTTTGCTACAGAATCTACTATTGCGTTATCATTAATTGATCATCACGATTTTTCACTCTATTTACATTACCGGATAAAATCTCAATTTAATTTGATGTAGATATTTTATTTTTGCAGCATCAAAATATACTGTGATTAAATCTGATACTGTTTTGTAATACTCTGTATGCTGATCATTTTTGACTCAAAAAATAAAGTTGTATATTCAGAAATGCCTAACTATAATACTCCTATGCTTACTCTAAGATATTATCATATTTATAATATTTCAATTAATTAAATCTGGCTGCACGTCTTGCATGACAAGAAAACACAGATAATGGACTCTAGACAACTGGAAACGAGGAGATCGGAGTGATGAGTCTCGATTCCAACTACTTAACGTCGACGGGAAGCTGAGAATATGGCGTAAGGCTCATGAAGCCACCAGGTTCCATCCTGCATATCAGGTTGGAACTGGAGGAGGCTTAGTCATGGTCTTGGGTGATTTTTCAATGCAGTGTTTGGGATCTTTGGTATTTGTAACGACCTCCCTAAATCTTATTCGGTACGCAAAGCTGTGGGGCGATCATCTCCATCCATTTATGCTATTCTGTCATTCACACGGAAATGGAGTAATCCAAGATGATAACAGCACCTCTCACAGGTCCCGGGTGCGTAATGGCAAACTGCACATTCAGTTGATCAATGTTAAATGAATTTCGCGTACTGCGCATGACCAGAAGAGAATTTGGCGCAATTAAGACTTTGGTACGATTTCAAAAGAAGATAAATACGGTGTGAGGTTGATATTCTGTTATCTGGACATAAACAGTTCGAGATTTTGAAACTTATTATGTTGTAAGTTGCTTCATTACTTAGAGTGTAAATATCAATTGTAAATTACGCAAATTTTCGTTTAAGAATGATTACAAAACAGAGAACATTACAAGATATATTAGCTGAATCTTTATTGTTTATACTTCTGAGGACTAAAAGCAATTGCGTATTTATCATACGTTCCATTCGTATATACTTTAACAAATTAAAGAATAAATCCAATTTAAATAACTGAATTAATGCCAAGGAAATTATTATAAATAACCGATATTAAGCATACGTTATGAACAAAATAAAACAGAAAATGAAATGAAACAGAAGCAAATGCATTAAGCACAAACAAATTTCGGTAGTATTGCAAATATAAACAGTTGATAAGACCTAGAAGACGCGCAGGCTTTGCCCCCCTTTAGTCGCCAGTATTTCCTCTCACGCCAACGGTAAGCCACTGAGCATGCGCAGGTTGCGAAATTCGTTAACATTGATCAACTCAATGTGCGGTTTGCCATTACGCCTCCCGGGTAGCTACTGCCTGATTGGATGAATATTCTTTAACTTTCTTGTCATGAATTGGCCACGTAGAAGTTGTGAGTTAAATCCTATTGAGCACTTTTAAGATATTTTGGAGAAAGTTGTGAAAGCACATCACATAACACTAGCGACCTTTCCTGAATTATGTACAGCTCTAGCCTATATTTAGCAATACATTCCAGTGGAAGGCTTCACACTTGTTGGATCTATATCTCCTCGTATAGCAACCGTTCTTAAGACCAGAGGAAGCCTAACTCGTTAGTGACTTGCTGTCCTTAATTCAGCGGTATTTAAGTGTATACATGCATGTGTTAACTATCTTCCAATTATATATGAATTTTACAGTAAAGAAAGAATTAAAATATTGAATTTTACAATAAAGGATTATTTTCATAGTAATAAGTGGAACTGCGAAATGGGACTTCACAGAGAAGTTTTGGTATCGAATGAATTTAAGCTAAACGTTATTCGTATTTTTACAATAAATTTACACGAAACATTCATTTTACATGAAGATTTGTGATGCTTTTATTAAGGAGTTATTTTTGAAATTTTGAACACTTCTCTCTCAAATTGTTTTAAAGCTGTTTATAAAATTATCCTAATATTGATAAACATTTAAGTTTAATATAACTGCCATTTATGTTTTAAATAAACTTCAAAAATACAAATTTCTAAATTTATCATAATTTATGTATTTCTATTGCAGTTAATCCGTGTTCGCCTGGTGTGTCGACGTGTGAACAGTTTTGTAGCCCTAAGGATGGAAAATGTGCCTGTGGAGATGAATTTACATTAAATAAGGACAATACAACATGTAGTTAGTATCAATAATTTAAACAAAGATAGTAATATGAATTTTAAGAAATTATTAATGTTATTTCATTTAGTATTGTGTGTTGGAAAAATATCGTCCTTTTTGTCTAAGACTAGTTTAAAAAATGCATCATATAATTAATAATAATAAACATAAATTATTAATAACAATAAACATAAAGTAATACTTGAATTATTTACTACTACGTATTTATGTAAATCCTATTAAATTATTATCCATTGAAATGTTAAAAACCTCACATTTTCTTATATAGTACAGCTTAGCTCTAGCCAGGGTATTTAATCTAACTCTGATTGAAGTCTATGGATATCTCTTTATTTTATAGCACTCCGGTACTCAAATGAGTGCATAACGATACTATTAGATTCGTTAAAAAAATGAAACCGATATAATTTCCTTAAATATGCATGCATTTATTAAATAAGAAATAGGAGTATTCCGAAAGTTGACAAAGTAAAGATGTCTTGTTTTGCTCCCGCTAAGTTGTTTTGCCCGCAGGACGAAAATTCAAGCATATATGTGAAGGAGAGGTAAATAGAAACAGGCAGTTTGGGATGAAAGTAAAAAAAATTCTGATCTGTACACCGCATGACTTCCTCATACGGAATATTAAATTATACGCATTCTTTTCTTGCATTCCATTTAAACTTATTGGATTGAACTAAATCTACTTCGTCGATAGCGCATAAACCACAATAGAATTAATGCACTTTTTCAAGTTCACTACATTTATTTACCATAGAGAGACTTCGGCGCTACGTTCACTTAACAGCATTAACATTCATTTTATAACTCGGGATGCACTAAAATTATATCATCTGAAGAATTACCACAAGTTCTATTCAAATACTATACTAAATCTAAAACGAAGTATAAAAGAAATTAAACAGATAAAAAAGAAACAGTTTTCCCCGACGATTTAGTATTTCTCATTCAATTAATTCAGTTTTCACTTCGCGACAAGGCAAATATACATAAAAACACAAAATATCTATATTAAAAATTACGAAGTAAATCTTAAACACTTATTTCCTCGAATAAATTCCAGAATGGATTAAGCATGATTTAATTCGCAATATTAAAAGAAGGCGTTATCTTTGTTGTTGCGAAGCTACGTTTCACTAGATTGGCAACAAATCCGTTATTTTGTCAAGTTTCAAATGTAAATAAACATGGCCGCCATCTCAAAAATAATTAGGGTTAGCCGCACTTTAACAACTTTTAAATTGTTGATAATTCTACAAATATTGCCTGAAAATTTACTAAAGGCATAAAAACCTTAACCGGAGGATAAGAACCACATAATTCAATAATTTTTAAGCAAAAAATACAAAATTTACAAACATATAAGAATAAAGAAACTGAAATCATTGAGCCGAGTAACGGAGTGGATATATATACATATATTTATATACTTTTGGTATGGCCGATTGCAACCAAAATACGAGGTGCACATCTACACGTTATAGCAGTCCCTATATACAAAATTTCAACGTTCTGAGGATACTCATTTTTGAGTTATGCGAGATATGTACGTACGCACAGACGCCACGAAAACGTCTCTTCAGAATTCAAGTTAAATCAGTTTTATAATTTTTTTGGGGTGTGAAAGAGTCCTTTATTATGTCCTTACGTACAGATATCAAGCAAAAACATCGTTAAATTGCATTCGATAGTGGTGAAAATGGATATTTTCTTTGAAATAAGATGCCTGAAAATGTTTTCGATTACAATACTTCCTTTTTACTTCGTACAAGGAAGTAATTAATAACAAATAATACTAATTTTTATTTATATAGCCAAATAAAAAAGTTGGTTACGTAAATAAGATAAAAGCCCGTTTCTAAGTAATACCTCTATAGCGTTGCGGTTAGAATTGTGGGTCTGGTGAAGGGCCTTTTTTATCTACTGACAAACCACGGATATCGATGGGAGAAAATTAGACTGGATCTCCGCTATGTCCTGTATGTTTAAATTGTTGGAAAAATTGTCTGTGCAATATGATCTGCTACTGAATATTTTCCTATGTAAGCAGAGACATTTCGACTGACTGACATATGAAGGAAAGGCTAGGAAGAACAATGGTAAAGAGAGAAGATCAAGTCAGTTCACTGGTGAAACCCTCATACAGCCACCTTCATAGAAATGATTTTTATCTTTTTATTTATTCCATAATGTGCTCCGATAGCTCAAATTTCTTTGACGCTAAGACTGACTTTTGTAAATGATGTCCCTTGCTGCAAACGTTTTGCATATATTTGTGTTTGTAAATGTTTATTTCGTGTCTATGACTGCAGAACGTTTTGTTCTACTCCGACTGACGTTTGAATTGAAAAGACAGTTAAAGATACAAGCAAAAACCTTCTTCTGAGAACTTAGTGAAACTTTTAGAATGATGGAGACACTTGGCTATATTTTGCTACTTTGGTGACATTTAAGAAGTTCTGTTAAACTGCACTTTGAAATCTTGGATTCTTTGAGTTCTTCTTACTCTAATATTTCAGAAGTGATTATACTCCGCCTGAGCAATCCTGTGAACAGGATACTGAAAGCGGTTGAAAGTCAGGAAACTGTATTGTAACTGCATTGATTTCCTACTCCTTCTTTTACTTGACTCACGACTTTGCTCTGTCCTAGGCGAAGCAGTCAATCAAGGAAATTCACTAAGTAATTGCATATTCCTTTGCGATTTTCGTGATCTGCGATATTCCTTTTGTGTTAAGGAGAATTAACCTCATCTCTGTTTTTGTCTTAAGACCTGTACAGAATTATAGTATACAAGACCTTTTTAATATTACTGGTGCAAAACTTTACCTTGAGAAGATGAAAAACAGTTTTAACTGTGTAAAAGTAACACCCCCAAACAACAATTATTAAAATTTCAAACAACAGTAATCAGCTTTAATGTTTTTACGATTACTGTTGTTTAACCTTCTAATACGATAAACAACAGTTTTGATTCCATAATATGAGACAAATGTCAATTACATGAGCAAAACAAAACTAAAATAAATTAGAATCAAATCAAAAACAGAAATGAATTTTTGCATCATAAACACAGCACTGTCAAATAATAAATTTAATAAAAGAATTTCTTAGAATTTCTTACCTCTAATAAATTTATGATAGTTGTGAAACTGTCAAATTCATCTAAGCCTAAGTAACGTTAAATTTATATGTATTGTAAAAATGCAATTACATAAAGAATGACAAAAGACTCATTTTATGTATTTTAATGTCCTTCTTAACTGAGAACGAAAATGTCTCTGCAATGTATAGCTAAAGAAAATTCGGTACTTATTTTTTATAGCGGTCCCCGAGATTGAATCGTCAATCAATCGAGATATCTTGGGGAAATCTAGCTGTATGTTTTTATACTTCTCCACGGGATCGTGTATTAGCACAGTGTTGCGTTTATGCTCTCGATGCGTGTTCTTATATTATTCATTTTTGATGAGGTTTCCGAATTCGCATTGTTTATTTAAAATATATTCGCTGCTTTTTTCTGAATATGATTTTAACAATCTTTAATTTACTAAGTAATGACGTGGGTGCCATATCATGTTTTCAAGAAAGAGGTCTCTTAAAAGTATGCAAAAATGACCCAAACCTGAAACTGTATGTAAACAACGAAACTATTTGGAAGTGGAATGCTAAAAATTCCAAAAGGAAGGGCCTTCATGTTGGAAATTCCCGAATATCTTCTACTAGATTTACGTCTTCTTGGGCAGAGGAGCTGACGTCCACGAAATGGTGTAACAAACAGCTTAATATGTGTGAAAGTACTGCAGTTGACTAACGCATTTATATGCCATAAAATAATAAGGATAAGGATTCTTAAAAGTATTCTTAGGAAACGACACATGGGTGTTATTGTTATTACTGTATAATTTTTTTTTCTCATTTGCACTCTACGAGCTTGACGAAAGTACAGCTGAAATCTTGGTGCAAATCTAAAATTGCCAAATAAAGTAGGGGACCAATGTAACATGGAAATACCGATATCTCATTTGTATAAACGTTTATACCTCAAAACTGCCAAAATTTAAATTTTTTATTGCTTCGAAAACTTGGCTTTGAACTCATTCTGAAGAACAAGTTAATGAACTGAACATTAAGTATTAGCTATCATCTGAGTACCTCAGCTAACATCTGAGTACAACAGAATTGCCAACTGAAGTTTGATAATTGTCTATAGTACGGAAACTACCACTGATACTAAAGTAACAATGAAATTTTTACGCAAAGCACTTTTTATTAAATAATAATTATAATTAAGTAACAGTGAAACTCTTTTAATTAGCGTCTTTACTTAAAATAAAGCAGTTTTATTTAATTGATAATTGTAACGATAATTATTAACGATAAAATTTTTATATAACAACATTAGAAATGAAGCAATTTCCTTAATTATATACTCCTATCATTTTAGAACGCAAGAAAAGTGATGATGAATGTCTTAAGAACTGTGGGAAAGGCACATGTTTTAAGAAAAATGGAGAAGAAGATTGCATTTGTCCAAATGCTACCCACGTTCGTGGAGATACTGGATGCGAAGGTAATAGATGTATGGACACACTAATAATGATAGAACCTATTGCAAATAAGATAAATATATGACTTATGTTCTTAAATATGGTTAAATCATTTTAATATCATAGAAATATAAATGTATATTCTGAAACTTGTGAATAGCGTGATGAGATTGTGAAATAAGATGTAGCTAGGAGAGATTCATCAAACTCTGTTTCATTTTTATTAATGACTAGTAAAAATCTTAACAAAAACAAGACTTTAATCTTAACAAGACTTTAAGGAGACACGGGACGTTCAAATGAAAAATTCTTACTTTTTGTTCAAACTTTAAAATATTTTTCAGTTATGTGTATATATTGTTGTTATAGCGTTTAATTCTGTGTTTTAAATTGTTAGTATAATTGTGTTGCATAATTGTACACCATAATTGTGTTGTATATAGTAGTATAGTGTTTTATTTTGTTTGTACAATTGTGCGCAATGTAATTTCTAGTATCTAATACTTTACAGGCATAGTCTATCCGTTTTTACAATGTATATCAGTTCCGTAAACATTGTGTATATAAAAAGCGCTGCATATCTATTCAAATTATATAAGCATTGTGTACCTGATAAAATGCTTAAGAAGCATAATGTATTCTACAGCGTAAACGTTCATCTGTAATTGCGACTTGTACTGTATACAGTATCAGCATAATACAACCTACTTGTATTATATTTGCACTGCATCTGCTCTACACAAAGCGCAGAATTAATCTGCATTTACCAACGTTGCATCTACTTAACCTGTTCAATATAATAACCTTGCACAGAAATACTTGGCTTGGCAACATTACACAACACGGCATGCATGGTGTTATATACTATCACTGGCTTGCATATTGTTAGATAGCGATTTATTCGGTTTGTATAATAATGTGCTATATAATACCTAATGTCTAATATACAACAAGCATTGTGTAACTGATTCTACACTGTGTATATATTCTGTAAGCACTGTGTATATAAAATCATTGTGTATATATTCTAATTCTATAAGCATTGTGTACCTAATACAATATCTAATAAGCACTGTATACAGTGCAGCAAAGAGTCTCATCTGCAATTATTGATCGCAGTGCATACATTAATGGCATTATATAACCTGTCAGTAATGTACCTGGTCATGTACATAGTGTATACGTAGTCTGTATTTATCTGCATTGTAACCGCATTACCTGTTTAATCTAATAGCTCTACATAGAATTATTGAGCTTGGCAACATCACGCAACACAGCCTGCATGGTGTTGCGTGTAAAAACTGTGTTTTATTTGTTGTATAGTGTAATTGTGTGCAATTATGTCTGTGTAATTGTGTGCAATCTAATATCTAATAACTAATACTCTACAACCATAGTGTATCTGATCTCGCATTGTGTATCTATTCGTATTGTGTACGTATCTGATTTCGCATTGTGTAACTATCTGTAAGCATCGTGTATCTAATATAAACACTCGTAACAACTCAAAGTATATAAGCATTGTGTATATTGCTTGTACAAGTGCAAGCAATCTACTAATATTCTACAGTGTGTCTGCATGTTTTATGTATGTTTTATATGCGCATTTTACATGTGATCTAGTTTCTTTAAATGTGTAAGTTTATAATATATATTAGCTTAATTATGTTTCATTATAAACATATGTTTTACTTGTATAAGTGTGTGAAAACTAATATCTAATTTCTGTTATTCTATAATGTGTTTACATGTTTTATATGTGTTGTATATGTGCTGTTATATGTGTTTTACAAGTGTTTTGTATGTGTCTTTATATGTGCAAGTATAAGTGTATGTGTTTGTATATGAAATCATTCGCCTATCGATCAAAACTAATGTATTCTTAAGACGCCCCTGTATGGCCATACACAATTACGTAAAATTCTTCAATAAATCACGAGGTGGCCTCATGAGGCTCCAGGGAGTTGCTGCCACTAAATAGGGGAAGGCGCGGTACATATGCCTGTTTACCTCTGTTAAACACCAGGCGTTCCCGTCCTCCGTCACCTGTCACCTGTTGTAGGTTCAGGCTCGGCAAGAACTGCACTGTTACTGTCTTGAGTGCCTCTTGGCTATGGGGATATTGTATAGTTTGATATCGAAGATTGTCCTTGGCGGTTATGCTCCATCTTGGACAACATTGGGGAACAGTCTTTGACCTGACTTTTTTTTTTCTTTGTAGGTGACCACGACTGCCGGTCACCATTGACGTGTGTGCTGTAAACTTTGACTGGTGTGCTTTAAACTTTTGTAAAACTTGAGATTGTCCTTGGCGGTTTGGCTCCATCTTGGACAACACTGGGGAACACTCTTTGACCTGACTTTTTTTTTTCTTTGTAGGTGACCACCACTGCCGGTCGCCATTGACGTGTGTGCTTTAAACTTTGAAGGGTGTAATTTTGTTCTTTTGGCATGCCTGCTTATACTTGCAGGAGGTGGCAAAAAAGCTCAGGCCTGGGTGCCTCCCTTTCCGTTGTACTGTAAGGGCAATAATAGAGAATATTTTTCTAGTCGATGAGGTATAGCACCTTACTTTTTTCCCGTTCATTTCCTGTGTTCTGGAGTTAATCACTTTTGTCAAATAAATTAGCATTAAATTTATTTCAAAAGAAAGCAATATAGCTTCGTTTCTTTTGCATCGAATATTTCGTTACTGCAATTTCAGTAATACAATCAGCTGAGGAATAGAAAGAACTGTCTAGAACTTCTTTTTCTAATCAGATTTCATAACATACATAACATACTCAAAAATTATGATTCGGTAATAAATTTTCTACGTCCTAGAAGTGGAACTGAATTATCTGTATTCAGAGTGGAGACAGATTTTATTTTGAAAATAAATAAGTATAAGATAAAATAAAAATAAGAGTAATTAAAAGAAAAATTCTGAAATGGTTTGTATTTTAACGTTAATCCAAAAGGGCTGTTCTAAAGTTTAATATAATTTATCAGTAGAGATTACCAGTTGAAATAGCCCAGATACAATAGCAAAATATTATATGGGAATTAATCAAAATCAAAATCTTCAATATGCTTACGAGGCCCACCAGCGGCCGAGCGGTAAAGTCGCTGAACACTGGTAGTTCGGTCCGAGGTTCGAATCCCGCGAACGGGCTGGCTGCATGGGTGTTTTCGTGGTTTTCCCCATGTGTAACGTGTATACGAGCCAGTTTCCCTTAGAAAGTCCTCCACGAAAGGCATCCCTCCTCTTAGGCAGATAGCCCTAGTGTGCTTTGCCATAATTAAATACACCACACCAATATACTTACGCTAAATACACGGTTGGTTTTACGATTTTGATTGTCACATTATCGTGTTTCTCTTCTAGTTTATATGGGAATTAGTAGAGAATACATTTAGAGTAACATGTTACGTTATGTATCTTCTGTATAGTCTTATCTGAATCTTTGAAAAGTCAAAAAATATTTAATGGAATTTTATAAAAATACTGAATGTTTTTAATTAGATGTTGTATCATGAATTAAACACTTTTTTATTTAAATAAAGCAGATTAAAATAAAAAAAAAGAATATATTTACGAACAACAATTATTATTAGCCCAAAGGGGAAATTTGCCCAGAAGGGCTGTTAATATCGTTTTGGCATTTTGCGTTGATTCACGATAAACGGTGAATCATTTTTGAAATTGTTGCCACTAAATATTATAGCCTCGTTGTATTATATTTAAAGAAATTAAATAATGAAGAATATGCATAAATGTATGTATGTTTCTAGCATTGTGATTAAACAACGGTACATAGAGCCATCGAATTTTGAATAACGTGTGTATCCTCCCGAATATGGGCACCTGAAAGCCCAAATTTCGAAATTATTTTATTATCTCTTTCACATTTTATAAAACATTTATAAGTTTTTGATTAAGAAACTCAATGATTTCAAAGCGACTAATGGCAACACTATACAAAAGAAAAAAAAATTATCTCCAGCGCGCGTGACCCTGTATCGGAAATTCTAAAGATATGCTCTTTTAAATATTTTATGATATTGCAGTTGAACTGAATTTTACGATTAAAGTAAGAATCTGAACGCTTTCAGATTTTTTTTTAAATAACCTGGTTTGTTTATCAATAACACACAAATTTTTAAGAACTGCATCTATTGCTTTTATGTAGCTTAGTCATAGTCATAAATAGGAGATTCTTAAGAACTGCATTAATTGCTTTTATGTAGCTTAGTCTGTTCATCAATAGCAGACAGATTAATTTTGAAAGATAACTATTTTTTTGCAAGTGGCAACAAGCAGACTTGAATAAAATCTGTAACAACGTATTAATGTGAACTGCATTTCGAAAGTAATAGCAATTTTGGGCTAATAAAAAGGGAGGGGGGAGAAAAGAAAAGAAAATTGGCTCTTAGCGCATTATAGAATGCTCCTCAGAAATCGATTCTTTTAAATCTGAACTGTTTTGTCATAACAAATACCCTAACCGTACTGAGATAAAGTGCCAAGCTACTACATATTTCTAAATAAATTATAAATGTCTATAGTGATTTATCGCTTAAACTGTAAATAACACGTTTAACCACTAGTGCAGAAATAATCGATTTGATCAGTAAAATAAATTATTTACATTTAAAACAGATTTTATGCAACTTTTACGGTTGAATTGCATTAAAGATAGAAATTAAGAATTTTAAGGGGTTGTTTTATTTAATTTAAGCAAATCGTACAATAGTTGATTTGCCTACCTTTTTTTTTCCAGTTTGGACCTAGGTACCTTTTACTTCACTGGCAAGCGTCCGAACGTACAACTCGAGAGGATCCCAGACAATTTAATCCGAAGATCTTTCACTCCATCTTTCCTTACTGTACATCTCCCGAAAAGACTTTCAACTCGACAGCTTCTTCAGTACGTTCTGTGCATCAAAGACACTTTAGTTCTAAATGACTACACCTTATCCAGGACTCCAAACGGTATCAAAGGCATGAATATCCTTCAGGCTGAGTTAATCACCTTGCGATCCGCCATAGAGATCGACCAGGTCGACTTTTAATAGATATGTTATAAGAGATAAAAATGAATAAATAATAAATGAAAAATATAGGTGGGGGGAACAAAATAATTGTAGCTTAATCACAGAATTGTGTTCATTTTGAATAACAGCATGAGACTAGCATTTTTTACTTTGCGAAGTGTTGAGTTTCCGAAATTCCAAGTATATATATATATCTTCTTTAAAGCAATAGCATGAAGAATTTTCTTTTTTACCTTGTTTTATAATTTTTGCAGCTCAATGCGCAAAATTCTGGATCACACAGTCTTTTTTTATTTGGTTTGTTTTGGTTTATTAGATTATGGCAAAGCACTAGAGGGCTATCTGCCTTAAGGGAGGGATGCCTTCGGGGAGGACTTTTAAGGGAAACTGGCTCGTATACACGTTACACATGGGGAAAAACACGAAAACACCCATGCAGCCAGCCCTCTCGCGGGATTCGAACCTCGGACCGAACTACCAGTGTTCAGTGACGTTACCGCTCGGCCGCTGGTAGGCCCCGTTTTTTGTTTGTTTTTCCTTTCTTGAATATATATATATATATATATACTTGTATATACATATATGTAAGATATAATAAAATACATTGGCTGCGCTAAGAACTGATTAGGGATCTTAAAATGTTGCCTATTCTATATTCATGTTCTCTCCCTAACTTCATGCTTTCTCCTAAATTCGAGATGTTTCCAAATTATTTTTAAAGTACATAACATTGCTTGAACAGAGAACTAAAACCTAAAATTAACCAATCGCAGCTTCGATATACATATGCACCTGCCTAGTGTAAATACTACTTCGCGATTAATTACGTCACTTCTTCTTAAGTTCCTCTGCCATGCGAAAGCTTTGCTACTATGCTTACTACCCATGTACTTGCAAATTATTGTAGTCAACTATGATCGAAAAGTATATTGTCTGCAAAGAAATAATGTGATTTGTGTCAGAATGAAGATTGGGAATTGTAGAATTCAGTTGTGTCAGCGTCATGTTTATGCATCTATGCTCAGCCATGTCGACTGACGGAAATTAAAGTACCGGGCTCCTTCTACGCATTAAATATCACATGTATATATCCTGCTTTTATCAAATAGCATTGGTCATATATCCTTACTATTTTTTTCCAGATTATTGCACGCATGAAAGCAAGTCTCCTCCAGGAATGTGTCCTGGTGATAAGTGCATCCCCGACGAAAAGTTTGCTTTCCGCTGTGATTGCAAAGACCCTTACGAGATGGCTGAAGATGGAATCTATTGTAAGAGTAAGTGACATAAAGGAGACATTACGTTTCACCCCTATTTCAATCAAATTTATTTCTGACTTTTTCTACTCATCCAATTTGAGCGTATGGTTCATTTCATTTGTTGCTATTCTTCTTTCCTTCTCAATCTGGTTAGCTCCGTCTCTCGGTTCTAACCCTGCATTAACGGTCACTATGAATTGTGTCACTAATTTCTACTGTTGCTACATGTACATTCAGTTAGAAATTTGACTTGCTTCTAAAATTTTAAAATCCATTTCTTTCATCATCTTGGATATGCATTATTTGCTCAAGGTAAATTTAATATCACATTATACGTTTAAAGAGTAATTTTTTCCACATAATTTTCTGTTTATATCATAAGCTGGTATACATGTAACCATTATCAGTCTTCTTATGGAATATTATAGTATATTGTAATATTTCTTCAGTTATGGTATAGTTCTTCCTTTTTTTACAGGAAAGGCCATGTGCAGGAGTGGTGGAGGACATGCTGCATGTAGTAAGGAAAATGCAAAATGTCAGGAAGATTTTGCTGATGAAGGTTTAGGTTACAAATGTGTGTGCGATACTGGCTTTGTGAAAGCTGATAATGGTACTTGCATAAGTAAGTATGTTTTCTACCTTCTCTGTTTATTTTAATACTTCCTAGAGAGATATTTTTGTTCTACCTGTTGTAATTAGAGCAAAAAGCAAGTTAAAATCTAACTACTGTGAGTATCACAAATATTGTCAAATGAAAATACTATTTCATCTATTTCATCAGATCAATTTGAATATAGATTTTAAATTATATGAAAATCTTCTTAAGTGTTCATATAAAAGTTGGTAACCCTTCCTGACCTTCGGAAACGGTAACCCTAATTCTTTAAGCTCTGTCATCACATCATCTTCACGTATATCACTAAGACGTTCATTCAGCTCAAGTTTGTCAACTTTCTGCTTGACTAATTAATAAGTGAGAAAAGGAACTTAAAATATCTATACGAACTTTGTTGCTGCTCTGCAGTCATCAAAACGTTTATAGGCGACGGTAATCGAGTCACTTTTGAGTTAACCATCAAGCTGATCTTTGCAGATTTACGTCAGTTTAAGTTGATATCAGTTTGCTGTTGGATGTTGATGTTGTTGGAAATGATAATTGGCCGTGTTCGTTCTTTTATATACCTTGGTTGGATACGTAGAAATACTTCTTCTTCCCATATCATCCTTATCAGTGAGCGATTTGTAGCCAGTTAGTTTTCTGATTTATACTTTTTCAAAATTGCTGGCTCGACTTTTATTGGTGTTTTGAAGATTTTGCTATAAGGTACAATAACAATTCGTTTTATGATCAGGTTACTGATCGTGTTTAGTTAAACTTCAGTTCATTTCATCACATTTGATAATGATTGGAAACTCATCAGCATATTTACTCAGTAAATACTATATATTTTTTAAAAATTTTCTGTAAAATCAATTAAACTTCCATACAGGTTGCCCCACATTGATATTTTTTTCAGTATGTTATATGAAAAATATATCACATTCTACAACGATATTTTCATCTAACGTCTGAATTCTCTTCATGAATAATTTATAAGATTTGATCATTTTAAAAAGCGATATATTTATCAGCTTCTTTCGTGTTTAAATCAGTACAAACTGTTCTCATCGTCTTCAGGAAAAAATCTAAAAAAAAAAAAAAAAAAAAAAAAAAATTACTCTAAGAAACCGTAGTGAAAAAAATCATAAATTTTGTTAGACGCCTCTTTCCTATCTTATATGTTCCTTCAAAGGAATAAAAAAAAATCAAAATAAAAAAATCTGAGAGTTCAGATTTTAACGATCGTCTAAAAGGATTTTTCAATGTTCTGTCGCTGAGCTCGTAGTCAACCAGACTGCAATTACATTAATTCCTACTAGATTAATTATTAAACACCATTTTCCTCGCACTTACGCCACATGCAATTCAATACCAAAATTTCAAAACTTTTAACAGCAGCATATGTTTAGAATTCGCGATGCAGTGTTCAAGAGTTGGCATATGTTTTTCTACTTTTTTGAGCCCTTTCTCAGGTCAGTATATCAATGTTCACTTTTTAGTAAAATGTCTAGCCAATTTTTGTTTGTTTTTTTATTACTGATGCTTCGTGTGCTAATTTTGTTTATTAAATACCATGTTCTTCGCACTGTATAAAATTCAATTCCTCGCAAAGTCACAAAATATTTAAAAATAGCATATCTTAATTTCCGCCAGAAAGTCTTCTGGGCTGGATATCGAAATATTTTATTCTGTGCAACAGTTTCACTGCTCGTTTTGAAATCGTATGTTTGCTAATGAAATTCTGAGTCTGCTAATCAAAAATTCTTTAAAATTTTACAAAATATGAAATATAAAATAGATACTCAAAACTCGGGCTTTCAGGTGCCCGTGTTCGGCTAGAGGACTATGTAATTCAAAATTTGATGCCTCTAGATACCAGTGTTAAAGAGAAAGGCTGGCTATCTTCGGTGACGTGATTCATGTAGGGGAGTTAACAGGAAGTAGTCTGACGTCACCATGTTGCTTCTGCTCTGACTTCGCCTGCTTAAAAGTAGCAATGTGGACATCCAAAATTAATTTTAATCGCATATATTGTTATCTAGTAAAGCAGTGTCAAATTGGCGGCCCCCAGGAAGTATGTGGCCCTCGAAATAGTTTCATGTTGCCAGCGAATATGGCTAGAGGAGAGAATTTGCTTAATCGGAATAACCTTTATTTTAGATGCATGTGACCTGAAAAACTGCGAGGCATCCAGAGCACGATGCGAACTTAATGGAAATTATGAAGCAGTTTGTAAATGTCCTCTCCTGATGACTATGGGAACTGATGGAATGTGTACGATTGGTAAGTCACTATTTATTCATTTCATTATTAATATCTTATCAAATTAAAGTAGAATGTTTCTCTTTTATAGCGTAATTATCAAATACGAATAAGTAAGCGTGAATTTGAGAAAGGCGACAGAATGACCCTAAACGAGAATTTGTTGAAAATCAGCATAACAAAGCTAAATTGTTTCTCTTCGCTTAACTAATTAGGCGCTCAAATATATTACAGTAGTTACAATCAGATATTGAACAGTATGAAATTTGATGTATAGTATATTCCGGCGTATAAACGTGCGCCAGCGTATATCTCGCGCCTATGGTTTAGAACCACATTTTTTAAAAGTATATTCGCCATTTAACGCGCACCTTTTTCTTTGAAAGCCACCTGAAAATTGCATGTGCGATGCGCTAATCTTTGAAGTCATTCATTCGAAGATTTTTCCCAGGATTTCAAGCGATGGTATACTTAAATAGCAAGCGATAAGAGGAACAATATATGTGTGGGGGGGAGGGGGTTAAATGTCTGAGAGAGTAAATAATTCTGCAAAGAGGTTGGATTGTATTCAATGCAAGTGCACAAGAATGTTATGCCAGGGTTTCGAGAAAAGAGGGACATAATTTACAGTAAGAACGCACTTCTAACCCGAATGAATTCGGTGGAATTAAGAGTCAGATTTTTTTTTTTTTTTTCCGTAGCCTTTTGAAGCGGTGAATTTGAAATGAACATCGAAGGGAAAAAGTAACGAAATTTTCATACTATCCGATAATGAATATTTTTGAGTTTATAAGGTATATCATTTTTTTAAATAAATAACCTTTAGGTACATGTAGTAATCTAATTTTTGTTGGTCATCTTATTTTCAAATCTATCATTTTTATATCCGGCATATTATGCGCGTCCATAAATTTCGATTTTTTATTTTTATTTTATTCCTTATTTTTTGTACTAAATGCGCGCTTTATACTCCGAAATATACAATATTTAACTGGGGAAAGTAACTTTCTGCTGTTTTCTTCTAAGCAAATGAAGTAATTCATTGTCATTAAGCAAGCACGAAAATTTTGCTAACGCCGTTTCTTCAGAGCTCAGCCAAACATTATCAAAACATTGTTTTTTCGATGAATGTAACAGAAGTCTTGTGGTTCTTAGGGAAAGAAAAGAGATGAGATCTTTTGATGGCTTTATTTACAAGATAATTTAGGTTATTTGAGTATATAGCAAAGCATACGAGAGCTATTTAAACTGAAGGATGCTAAGGGAAACTTGCTCTTATTTACGCTTCATATGGGAAACCCACAAAACCCAATCATGCAGCCAATGCTAGGGTCGATCTCGGGTCAGTCTCCATTATTGAGCAACCATGAAATCATCATCTTGGATTTTGGATTTATATATCATTCTATTTTCATCGTACCCATACTGAAATTTCATAAACCTTGCTTTTAACAAATAGTGCATTATTAATAATGATCTTTTAAAATACTGACCAATAGCAGTGATCAACATCATCATCATTATTATTTGTTTTAAATTATTTGTAACATGCGCATTTCAAACTTTAAAGGTCAATGATTTAGTCAGTATTGAGCTAAAACAAATACTTGTCTAAGCTATGGTTAAAAATATTAAAATATTCTTGAAATTATATCCCTCATAACGATGTTAATTGTTGTAACCGATCTACAAGTATTATGTCAATCTGCACAGAGAGAAAATGGAAAAAAAAATCGTACAGAAAGTTCAAGAATTGTTATTGTTACATGTACCGTATCATTACTTAGGACGCAGCACGACCTGTTTCCCATCCTAGAAACTTCCATTTCAGGCAGGAGATGGAAGTCAGGTAAAAGTCCACCTTGGCAAAATAACTCTCTAGTTTCCATCTGCTGTCAATATTTCCACACGCAAGCGCTGCAGACACTTTTTAATCCTTTCATAGATTCCCTGTTCTCGGCTAGACGTGTCACCTATCTCGAGGTAATCCTCGACTAAAATCTCACACAGTCCCCAAATATACAATCCATTATCCAGAAGTTCCGGGTCCGTAAAGCTAAACTTTTTGCCTTAACTGCGCAGAACGGCGTTTTATCTCTAGAGAACTAGTTACACATTTACAAAACCATGTCGCGTGCCATGCTCAACTATGCCTGCCCTGTTTGGGCATACTTTTGCAAAATCAACGGGAAGCAACTTCAGACTGCGAAAAATTGCATTCTGAGAACAAACAACAAGCGCACAAGCCTCGTTTTTGAGGAATAATGTAATTAATGAAGAACTGAGAATAGCACAACTTTGTACCCACTTCCATCACCTGGCACAGAATTTCCATTTGAGTACTGGGAAATCATATAACAACATCTGAAGCGTCCAGTGTAGATCTCAAAGTATAAATAATTAATTACGTTTTTGTATTTTGCTCCCTGTACTATATAAATTTGGTAATTTTTTTAATTTATTCTGTTGCTTCTGTATTAATATATTGCAAAATGTTACCTAAAATTATTTCACTTGCCTTTGTATCTGTTTTGATGTGTAATTAAAGAACATTTTGCAGTAACCTCATATGATCAGCTTATCATGATCCGTTGACTTTTATGCGAGGGACAATGCACTTATATTTTATTTAACTCTGAAGTAATTCCTTATCACCAAATATTATTAGAACAGTACAATATTTCGTAATAATCAATCAGTTTCGATGGAGATTGGACTTCGAGTTCGAGTTCCGGTGCTAACGCTACTTCTACACCTTTGCCATTTCATAACTCACCACTCAAATACTCAAATTGGGCCCCGGGATCACTACTTCTGATTCTCGGAATTCATCACGGGGTACGGCTATATTAGTCTGACGGTTTGACTGGTCACTTTGCTACCCTCCATTACTACCATGGATGTCTCCAGGAGTACTGCGACGCGCACCGCACACAGTATACTGATCTGTACAGATTAGCGACTTGCAACCACTCGACCTGCGGAAAGTTGGGCTGAAATCCTTTCACCAGAGGACTTCGGGAACTGCCACACTCGCGTTTTTACCTCCCGCTGCAAAGACTGTCTTGGTACAGATCCTAGCCAATACAATAAACGACTGCCAGTTGGAAAGGAGTTCGGGTCTGTAATGAATAATTTAAAATATACTTCTCAAATACAGGAAAAAAAATTCACGAAAAAACATTTTTCCTATTAGGGGCCACATTTTTTAAGTTCTACAATAGCACTTGGAAATATTTTAGACTGATGACAAAATATTAGTCGTAGCGAATAATTATTTGCCAATCTCAGACGGGTTAGGGAGCAGCTTTCTCGAGAAGAAATATTGTAATTATAGCTGTTGACATTCAGTTATGGCCTCATAAATTCTGGTCACTTTTATAGATGGTCATATATGGTTAGCTACATATCATTAAAATATATGTTTTTTCATTAACCAAAAACTTATCTCAATACTTTTGTCTAAATACATCGGTAACGGGAAACAACATGTAGTTTATTACGTTTGAACTCTGCTGTGTTAATTACATTAACGTAAATGAGTTTGAACGTAGGTGGACAAACTGGTCCAAAATTTTAATTTCTTTATTCTTCTTTAGTTTTCTAAAAAGGATCGCTATTTGTATTTTATCGCATATATATTTCAGAACCATTATAGTTTTACTATCACATAATTTGTTATGATATTTTAAAAAACAATTTAATATTTGTTGGCAAATCTCAATGTTGCTTTAGCTAAAATTGATATTTTTACCATTTTAAGTTCAAATTCAAGTTTTTCAGAAAAATAACAGAAGTATAATTTATGTATATCTTAATTTGATAATTTTATCTGGTAGCATCTTATCAAAACTTAAGTTTTTTTATCTAATTATTTCCTTTCAGTTGATAATTCTTATATTGCTAAGCTGAAAGTTCTGAAGAGAAAATATGAAATACATGTTGAACGAAAACAGTCTAAAAGATCCCTAGAAGATACAGTGGACTATGCTAAGCTACGAGGGGATTTCGAGCTTTCGGTAATGCTTATTATAAATTGAAATTAATATTTAATAAAGCTCATTAAATATAATCGGGTAATAATACACATGATTCAGTAAATATTTATTATTTTTCATTTCTTTCCACAAGTCTACTAGCATGCTTGCTTGATGCAGAGATTAAGAACAAATTTCAATAACTCCATAAAAAACAACAATATTTTGCAAAGCTAAGAATTTTTAAAAATCTCATTTTTTAGCTACAAAAGTTATAAAAATATTATAGATGTTTAATACAGTTTTTCTCTTTGATGTCCATCAGTTGTTTTAATTCAGAAGTTGAGTGAGCTTATCAGGTTCAGTGTTCCGCCTTACTTGCTTTGGGAAACCTGACTCGGAACAGGGAGCTTACTAAAGCTATGTTCAATAAATGTGGGAAGTAGACAAGATACACAGGAAGGGTATACGAAACCCTTTATTTTTCACTCTTTACAATAATTTCCGTACTTCGGAATACAGAGACCAACCACTTGTGGTCTGAACGTAAGAGTATAAAAATATTAACTAAACTCTAACTTAACTTTGGAATAATAAACAAGGGCCTACGTGGAACATTGGCCGTATATTAACAGGAAGCCGTATGTAGTACAGAGAACTGTTAACACTACAATACGTTTAAAATTATCAAGAGGATTAAAAATCTGGCCTGGAAGGCAACAAGCAACCGAGTAAAACTGCTAAGGCAAGCGGCCTGCTTCGACTAACTCCTTCCTTTCTGCTTGCTTGGCAAAAAGCCACAACTTAAGTACTTGGCGTTCGCCAGACAAATTTGCATAAATAAGTTAAAGCTTTTAATTCTGGCCGGAAGTAGAAATAAGAAGTGATAGTAAAGATTTAAAATAAAATAAACGTTAGTAAAACTTAAGATCCTTACATACTTCCCGCCAGAGTTAATTAGTTTGAAACTGAGGTCTAAAACGACCTTGTTGAAAACTTTTAGCTCTAGAATCTAACGCGAGGCCAATCTTTTACAAACATTCTCACTAGAAACTAGAAATTTAAAAAAAGAAATTTGTTTTTACATTATAGCAGCTCCATGGACAATTACTTTTCATCTGTACTGCATCTAAACAGGAGCTTTTAGTTGAAATCTGGTTCCTTCCAGAGATCTGGAAGGAAAACTAGTTTAATGAAATGTTACACAATTCAAATGGCAAGTAACATGAATATTTATATTTCTCTTAACATTCTTATTTCATTCATGACTTTATTTTAATTATCTCTCCCCGTGCTCTCTGACATGTGTTGTAAAAGAAAACACCAAACACGAATGTGTTTATGTATACGTGTTCAACACTGCCGCCTACAATCAAAACACTAACGTGTTAAAATTCAACATAACAAGACCTCGTAACACACCTTATATTCATCTCTAAACCCTGAGGTACTATTCTGAAAGTGGCTAACTCTGAAGTGTAGCGTCAGAGAGCCTAACTACATTCATTCAACCTTTAACACATATTCACAAATAATTTCTCTCTTTTTTTTTTTTTTTTTTTACAGTCACACGAATAAGTTTAAAATTTTTGGCATTACTTTCACTTTTACCATATCACAGTATTTCTTAACATTTATTTAAAATAACAGTTCACATTGTATATAAGAACATATTAACATGCCGTTAATTTTACGCATTTTAAAACATACATTAGTAGTACATTGTTAACTTCTATTCTTTTCCAAGCAAGTGCCAATTCTTCTACATTGAAATACTACATTTCAAAAGTCTTTCAGACTAAAACTTCTTTCTTGCCAGAATGGTTTTAAATAAAATTTATACAATAACTTTTACAATATTTCAAGTATTTACACATTCCTATTATACATCAACTTTAGTTTTACTCGCGAGTAATTGAAAAAACATAATACCAAAATAGGTAACAACTCATTTCTCGCCTTTTTGGCGATAAAGGTAGACCTCACATGAGGTAAAACTTCTTGAAATTCTGCCACTTGCAGTAAGAATGAAAGATTAACTTAAGTTTGCAAAGTAACATAAAATTTTACTTATCTTTGTGATATTCGGACATTCTTTTCTCTGCCCAGTCCTGGAAGGTAGCGAAGATTACCGTGTTTGATTTATCCTCCTTCTTGTGCGGGCTCGCCCTTCAGTTGCCTTCCTCTAGGAGCTTTCTTTTTCCTCCAGTTCGGTCACCCTTGAAGACCTTCTTTTTCGCCTCTGCCTGTGGTCTTGGCCGTTTGATGGCAGCTGGTCTTGGCGGAACCGGGACAACTTCTCTCTCGTTCCTGCTTGGATCTCGTTGCTGGCCGTTCAAATTTTCCTTGTAACTTTTCCTCCGCCGCTGGTGGCCCTTCCGCAGTTCGGCGACATTTGCTGCGGAGAGTCCTGTCCGATGGTAGATCTTCCGTTTTGGGAGCCGGGTTATAGTTGCCGTTATTTCTCCTGGCTCTCTTTGCATTCGTCGTACTTCTCCCTTCTTCATTCTGGGGGTGGTCGTGCGCTCTCTTTTCTGGTCGGTGGAACGGCTTCTTTTTCTTGTTACCTTCAATTTTCCAACGGGGAAACTTTCTTTTCAATTGCTCCTGCCTCCTAATGGCTTGCCCTTGTGCTTGTCGTTGTTCCACCTCTGGAGCTTGTGCCTGCCGTGCCTGCCGTGCCGGATCCTGCAAAAGATCTGTAAATATTTGCATTTTATTACGATCATAGTATGGTTTGATTTGATCAATGTTTGCGGAGCATGTTTCACCATTCCTGGCTTTTAACACCACTACAGCCTGAGTTATTTTTTCTATGACATATGGTCCTTCAAATCGTGGAAAAAATTTGGCGGTTTTATCTTCTGGTGCTGAAGAAAGTGAATGCTTAATTTTTAACACTTCATCTCCTACTTTATAAGTTACTCCCCGTCGTTTCAAATCATAATAAAGTTTCTGTTTTCTCTGTGCTACTTCAGTATTCTTTTTGCTTCTTTAATTAATTTTTCTATATCACCCATTTTAAATTCTGGGGCTCTTTGTTGAACATAAAATAATTTATCTAACGGCGTTATAATCTTTCTGCCTAAAAATAACTCAGCAGGAGTTTTGCGGTCCTAAGGGCGAAAGCAAATTCATTGACATAGTTATCCCAGCTTTTATGAAAATTTTTAACATAACTACGGATAATTTTCACTATATTTCTATTGACCCGTTCCGCTATATTTGATTGCGGCCGATACGGGACCATTTTTAAATGACGTATGCCCAGTTTTTGGCACATGTCTTCAAATATATTACTTACAAATTGAGGACCATTATCCGATATAACTTTTAGGGGCGCCCCGTATTTTAAAATATATTTATTTAAAATAGAATCAGTAACTAATTTCGCGGAGGCTCGTTTTAAGGGAACAATTTCGGTCCACTTACTAAAATGATCAACCATAACAAGGAGATAGCGACTTTTATTTAACTGACTTTTTGGGAAAGGGCCCAATAAATCGATGCCAATTATTTCATTTGGAAATTCGGATTTAATACTATTTAGAAACCCGGCCGGGCGGAAATTAATATAATTAACTGCTTGACATGTTGGGCAGGACTGGACATACGCCCTTGTTAACTTTTGCAGTTCAGGAAAATAAGACTGCTTCGCGTACGCGTTGGATAGTTTTTCGAATACCAGCATGAGAAGCTAAAGGGCTGTCATGTAACTCCTGCAGGATATTTAATCTAAGACTAGCTGGGATAACAGGTCGAAATTCGTTGTTGGAATTCGTAGTTTTTGTATAAAATAATAGACCATCTATTAGTTCGTAATGGGCCGCCCTATTTCTTATCGCCACAATATCTTGGTGGCTAAAATTTTCAGGATCCTTTAAATACTCATAAATGTTTCCAAACTCAGGATCCTTACCCAGTTCGGTTATTACAGTTTCTCGGGAATTTATTGTACATGCTGTGAGCATTGCCACCTTTACAGTATTACCTTCTTCTAATTTTTAATTCTGGATAGGGCATCTGCTACGATATTTTCCTTTCCGGGGGTGTGCTTGATTACCAGATTATATTCTTGTAAGCTTGAGTGCCCATCTTATTAACCTTGGGGATAAATTTTTTCCCTGAGTACAATCTAGTTACCGCCGCATGATCAGAATACACTGTTATTGGCGCCTTTCCAAAATAGACTCGGAACTTTTGCACTGCTAACAGAACTGCAAGTGCCTCTCTCTCGGTCGCGGAATAATTTCTTTGTGTTTGATTTAAAGTTCGACTAAAAAATGCCACGGGCTGCTGATTTTGCGAAAGTACCGCTCCTACCGCATAATCCGAAGCATCCGCTGAAATTTCTAAATTCTCATCCTTTTCAGGAAATTTCAAACACAGGGGCTTGCGTTAATGCTTGCTTTAATTTTTCGAAAGCACTATTGGCTTCGGCCGTCCACGAGAATCTTGCCTTTTTCCTTTTTAATTTTAACAATGGTTCAGCAATAGCTGCAAAATCTTTTATAAAGGACCTATAATATGAACAAAGTCCTAGAAAAGAAGAGAGAGCTTCTTCGCCGTGTTTGGCGGCGGATACTTTTGCACAGCGATTATTTTTGATTCGTCTGTCTCGATTCCTTTCTGAGATATTTTGTAACCTAAGTATTTTAATTCAGGGGCTGCAAATTTGCACTTTTCGACATTAACTTTTAGACCGGCCTCATTTAATAAAGAAAACACCTGTCTTAAATCCTGTACATGTTGGTCCAGATTATCACTAGTAATAATGATATCGTCTAAATAGATAAATGTGGACTTTCCAAGAACAGGCCTTAACACAATGTCCATACATCGCTGAAATGTTGCCGGTGCCCCTGAAAGGCCAAACGGCATACGCAGGAATGCATAAGTGCCAGACTTGGTTATAAAAGCAGTCTTAGGCACGTCCTCCGGTCTAACCCCTATTTGAAAATAACCAGTCGTTAAGTCTAAAGTCAGTCATATATTTGGTAGAAGTTATGTTCCTTAGAATTTCTTCAATAATAGGTAACGGA